GAACAGCAAAGAACATCATAGAATATCACAATACAGCATAGAACATCACAGAACATCACAGAACATCACAGAACATCACAGAACAGCAAAGAACATCATGGAACATCACAGAACAGCATAGAAGAGTATAGAACATCATAGAACATCACAGAACAGCAAAGAACATCATAGAACATCATAGATCATCACAGAACATCACAGAACAGCATAGAACATCATAGAACATCACAGAACAGCATAGAACATCATAGAACATCACAGAACAGCAAAGAACAGCATAGAAGAGCATAGAACATCATAGAACATCACAGAACAGCACAGAGAGTATAGAACATCACAGAACATCACAGAACAGCATAGAACATCATAGAACATCACAGAACAACAAAGAACATCATAGAACATCACAGAACAGCAAAGAACATCATAGAACGGCAAAGAAGATCATAGAACATCAAAGAACATCACAGAACAGCAAAGAACATCATAGAACATCACAGAACAGCATAGAAGAGTATAGAACATCACAGAACATCGCAGAACAGCAAAGAACATCATAGAACATCATAGATCATCACAGAACATCACAGAACAGCAAAGAACAGCATAGAACACCATAGAACATCACAGAACAGCAAAGAAGAGTACAGAACATCAAAGAACATCACAGAACAGCAAAGAACATCATAGAACATCACAGAACAGCATAGAAGAGTATAGAACATCATAGATCATCACAGAACATCACAGAACAGCAAAGAACATCATAGATCATCACAGAACATCACAGAACAGCAAAGAACATCATAGAACATCACAGAACAGCAAAGAACATCATAGAATATCACAATACAGCATAGAACATCACAGAACATCACAGAACATCACAGAACAGCAAAGAACATCATGGAACATCACAGAACAGCATAGAAGAGTATAGAACATCATAGAACATCACAGAACAGCAAAGAACATCATAGAACATCATAGATCATCACAGAACATCACAGAACAGCATAGAACATCATAGAACATCACAGAACAGCATAGAACATCATAGAACATCACAGAACAGCAAAGAACAGCATAGAAGAGCATAGAACATCATAGATCATCACAGAACAGCACAGAGAGTATAGAACATCACAGAACATCACAGAACAGCATAGAACATCATAGAACATCACAGAACATCACAGAACAGCAAAGAAGAGTATAGAACATCACAGAACATCATAGAACACCATAGAACACCTGAGAACACCATAGAACCCCGCCATAGAACCCCATAGAACTATAGAACCCCATAGAGCGCCAAAGAACGCCATAGAACACCATAGGACGCAATAGAATGGCATAGAACGCCATAGAACGCCATAGAACACCATAGAACGCCATAGAACGCCATAGAACGCCATAGAACACCATAGAACGCCAAAGAACGCCATAGAACGCCATAGAACGCCACAGAACACCATAGAACACCATAGAACACCATAGAACACCATAGAACACCATAGAACACCATAGAACGCCATAGAACACCATAGAACAGCATAGAACAGCATAGAACAGCATAGAACAGCATAGAACAGCATAGAACAGCGTAGAACAGCACAGAACAGCACAGAACAGCATAGAACAGCATAGAAGATCATAGAAGATCATAGAAGATCATAGAAGATCATAGAACATCATAGAACATCATAGAACTTCATAGAACATCATAGAACATCATAGAAATATGATGTTGAGAATTGTTTGATAATATTGATATATGGTGATATATGCTGATACACAGATCTATTTTTGATGTCTATTTTGATGGTTTTTTGATATTTCAATATAATTAGTACAAGTCAATACAGTACATCATTTCCATGGAAGTCTCTGCCAAACTATCCTTGATGGATCTATCTTCTATCTACTTGTCGTTGAACATCTCTAGACTTCCGGTAACACATCTTTAAACTACGTAGGTGAAAGTAAAACAAAACATGGTTGGTGGTTTTAACCCCTCTGAACATATTAGTCAGTTGGGATGATTATTCCCATATATTATGGAACAAAAAAAATGTTTGAACCCCCCAACCAGATCAACCAGTAACATGGTCAGTGCACATGTTTGACTTCACCAGGCTCCCCAGCCGAGGAATGCCAATGCACATTGAGCCCTCAAACCACAGGGTGTTGCAACAGACCTCGGAGCCCAGGGTCCCTCCGGTAACGTGGTAATTTAAAGTCTACCAGAAAACTTTTGATACTAATGTAATCCAACATTACCCTCCAGTTTCCCAGTAAAGTCCACCATCATGGAAGTAAGTAACCAGGATTTCATATATTTTGAATTATTTTGTTTGTTTTACTGGGAATTTGTCAACTGTAAATGGTGGATTTTCCAGCAAACCATGGAGCTGATTACCGGTACCTCTGATGGATACACTGGGATCATGTTCACCGAAGCCATTGGACGATATTTGGTCAGAGTTTTGAAATGTTTTGAATCTATAGCTGGTTGGTGGTTGAGCCCTACCCCTCTGAAAAATGATGGACTTCGTCAGTTGGGATGATGACATTATATATATGGAAAAATAAAAAATGTTCCAAACAACCAACCAGATAATATGGCATAGTGGGAATATTCACAACTAAACCATGCTGATTCCGATCCTGTCCTTCGTGTGCAGAGATGAAATAGCCAGATTCACTGGGACCCCGTGCAGTTTCCACCTGGAAACACCACCAGTATTGCCTGGTGCCATCTGGCGCCCTTTTTTTTAGGGTTTCAGCATGCACTGAGTTCCAACTTTATGCCGTAACATGCCGTGACTCTGCTAGCAGCTCTAATTGTGGGGGTTGGATGACACTGTCAATGAATAATGAAACACGCATAGATAAGCCAAGAATTCTGATTCAAGACAAAACAATGGACATGTCATCGTACAATCATGTACAAACTACTACAAACCGCTGTTTTCCTAGCTTTCAGGCAGGTACACGTCTGCATTAAACCCTCTGTTGATTCTCTGCACATCCAAGGTTTACTGCATCTGATTCACCGACATGGGTGTGGGTCATGTAATTTTCAACCTCCCATGTTTCAGGACGAACGCACCCAATTTGATGGTTTGACGTAGCATGTTCATCATTTTTTATTGATTTTCTCTATCACTTCACCATGCCACATCCTTCCATCACCCACAACGGCACCGTACAGCACCTGCTTTTTCCGAGGATCAGTCGCAAAATACCGCCTTCCAGGGCCTTCCCGGGGACGAATAGATCTAGTCTTCAACAGGATGGATGGGGATATCGGATAAAAAAGAGGACAATATATTAGTCATCCATTAATCACCATTATTAACCCATTAACTATGGATACTCACATTACTAACATGTTTTAACGGGCTAATAATCATAATCATAAAAGAACTCTATACTAATCGCATTCGGCTGTGGGAAACTAGACCTGTGATGACCTGACTGCAGTTGATACTGGTAGCAGTTCCTCGCGAAAGACTTCCGATCTTTTTGGGACCCCTACCCTCTGGTAAACTAACATAGCTATGGAAAATCACTATTTTTAATGGGTAAATCCACTATAAATGGCAATTTTCAATAGCTATGTTAATTTACCAGAGGGTATACTCTGCTCCCAAATAGCCAAACTCCCAGCCGCGACTTTTTCGAATCGCGACAGACCGCGAAAAGGCCGCTCTTCCAGCTGCAAGTCCTGAGGATATCATGGGGACGCGACCATTTCATTTTAGGATATTTTAGGATATTTTAGGATATGTGTATATATATATATTATGATATATATGTGGGATATTTGTGGGATATGCAACTATTGGGTTTATCTAAAAATGGGCATACACCCAAGTTACTGCAATTTGAATGGGGACCTGGTTGCTAATCATCAAATTATTGGGGACGCTGTTTTCAGACAATGGGTTGGTCACTTGGAACTTTTTGGGATGCGTCTGGAAAATCTATCTCAAATCGATCAGTCTCAGCCTCAACCCATTCCAGTAAGCCCTTGAAAATCACAGTATCTGGTTGGTGGCTTCGACTCTCCGGGCGGATCATCTGGGATCATCATTCCAACTAGCGATGAGAATTCTCCATTTTCCTCGAAATATCAGGCCTGGGTCTGCATTGTTGTCGTACCTCCCGCACCCTCTCTGCCAATCTTAGCTCCCGCGGGCTTTTCTTTGGTGATGAAACTGTCTTGAGCTTAGTATGAAAATTCAAAATAGGGCTACCCGGCTAAAATTCATTGGCACATTGTAGTTTACGCCAAGACTTCTGCCAACCAATGGGCGCCCGTTTCCTTGAGACCATCCGTGGGGTAAACCATGGTAAACCCCAAGCTCAGATCCGAAGAAGTGGACCGTCCCGGATCTATCCATTTTGTCTTTTTTGATGGTTTATTGGGTTTTATTCCCCACCTGCCAGGTATAAATGTCATGGTGGGGATCACACGAAGTAAAGTAATTTAAGGATATTGATGTCTATTGGGCGGTCAAGCCATGTCAAGCCTTCTATTTTCAGAAGTGTAGGCCATAGGCACCTGAAACGCTGCTCCAGCGATCGCCAAACTCACCAGGTGGCAATACCCGAAGCTGGTCAGGCAAACCTCAAGGAAAGGCAAGGTTTGGTGGTTTCCGAAAAGGGATGTGGGAGCCACGGACACGTCACAAGTCATGACACATCAAATCCAATGCAGTCTGTCGTCACCGTTCAGTCACCAGTCACCGTTCATGGACGAAACTCCAGGCAACTCAACTTGTTTTCCTCAGACTTCGCTGAAGATTCAGCGCTGTCACCTGGAGAACATTCTGAGAAGGCAGCAACTCAGAGCTGTAGTCCAGATCGAATTCATGGGAATGTGCCACTTGTGGGCATGATTGGCATTGATTGGCCACTTAAAAAAACCAAAATCGCTTGCGAGAGATCTTGCATCATCTCTGGGTACGGCCCTGCTTCCTACGCATGTTTAGGCTAGCCATCACAGCAACGATGCTCATTCTGTCTGCCCCAGCTCCCAGCAGCAAATCAACAACTTCACTGTGTTGATTCTGACACGCCATGTACAGAGGTGTCGCCCCAACTTCTGTGGTGCCCTTTTCTGTGTCTGCACCTGCCTGGATCAACATGCGAACCACCTCAACCTGGCCTGTCTCAGCTGCCATGAGCAGCGGCGTCACTCCCGTGTTGCTATCGGCTTGATCAACGTCGACTCCAGCCTCAACCAGCAAGCGTACAACTTCTGCATGGCCCTTCTCAACTGCTATGTGCAAAGGTGTGGTTCCATTGTCGATTCTGGCCTGGTTCCTGTCAGCTCCATGTTCAATCAACAAACGTTTTTTCCTCACATCCAAGGGTTCAAAAGTAATCAAGGGTCACATGTTATACTAGTGGCGCTGATCTGTTCAATTAACATTGAGCCATTTCGAAAAAACGTGAGTCAAAGAAGCTGAACTTGGCACTTGGCTTGAGAGTTACTTCCAATAGCGCTACTCTTAAATTTGCTAGAGAAGAACCGCCATCCGGATTACTTACATTACGGATGCCAGAGCCCACAGTGGATCCCACAAACTATTGAAATCAGAGTAGGCCCATGATTTTGCGACAGAACATACCTGAGTTCTACCAGGTTAGATTTGCGATGGATCCTACTTTGTCCAAATACTTTTTGCGATGGATCCTACTTTGTCCAACATTAGTTTGCGATGGGACCTACCCAAATCCATCTCAAAGCGCTTCAGGTGAGACTGATTGGAAACCAAGGACTTGTCTCAAACAATTTGGGGGATTTTGTGCCATCTGTCTCAAATGGATGTGGTAGAAATGCTTTTTCAGATTCAACTTTGAGATGGATTTGGGTGAGACTTATCTCTAAGCATTGCTTTGGACTGGCAAGCCTTTTCAGACACATGTCCACTACCAATACCCCTAATACTGGCAGGCTGTGTTTGAGATGGGGCCTACCCAAATCCATCTCTAAACCAAACTGTTGCCTAACACTCAAAACCCTAGAGCTTTGAGACAAATCATGTTAAACCTTGCTAGCACATACCATGGCCATAGTTGGATTTGGCATCATTTTGAGATGGATTTGGGTAGGTCCCATCGCAAACTAATGTTGGACAAAGTAGGATCCATCGCAAAAAGTATTTGGACAAAGTAGGATCCATCGCAAATCTAACCTGGTAGAACTCAGGTATGTTCTGTCGCAAAATCATGGGCCTACTCTGATTTCAATAGTTTGTGGGATCCACTGTGGGCTCTGGCATCCGTAATGTAAGTAATCCGGATGGCGGTTCTTCTCTGGTAAATTTAAGAGTAGCGCTATTGGAAGTAACTCTCAAGCCAAGTGCCAAGTTCAGCTTCTTTGACTCACTGTTTTTTCGAAATGGCTCAATGTTAATTGAACAGATCAACGCCACTAGTATAACATGTGACCCTTGATTACTTTTGAACCCTTGGATGTGAGGAAAAAACCTTAACAAATGAACAACTTGCACAAGGCCCTTGTGAGCTGCCACGTACAAAGGTGTGGCTCCGCTATCTGGTAATGCTTTCTCCATGTTTGCCCGGGCCTCAACCAAGGCGCGCACCACTTGGATGTGACCAAATGAGGCTGCGGCATACATGGCAGTTTCTCCAGTGTCACCCTTGCATCTGTCAAGGTCAACCCCGGCCATGATCAGCAAGCCCACGATGTCAGCATAGCCATTCTGAGCTGCAATGTACAAGGGTGTTGCCCCATCGCTGCTCCGGGCTTTGCTATGGTCCATCCCTGCCTCAAGTAGCACCTGAACCACTTCTGCATGGCCCCTCTCGGTTGCTAGGTGGAATGCGGTTCCATCGAGATTAAGCGTGGCCAAATCTGTGTCTGCTCCAGCTTCTATCAAGCTATGAACACTGTCCACATGGCCAAATTGGGCTGCCAAGAGCAGCGCTGTCCAACCCTGAGGCCCAGTGGCTCGGGCATTCAGGTCTGCAGCTGCTTCAATCAACAGCTGGAGAGGTTCCATGTATCCGTTTGCAGCCGCATAGAGCAAGGGACCACCGCACTCATGACGGACGTTGGGGCTGCGAGGACAGTTCAGTAAATTCTGAGGTGTTCGCACATCATTGCTCTTTGCTGCAGATATCATCCTTTCATCTTCCTCAAAATCTTCTGGCAAAAATTCCAAGACCACCAGCCTCAACTCTGCGGCCGAGGCAATGACCTCGTCATCCTGAACTTCCCCGTCTGCTGAATAGAGGCGCTGCCGAAATCTGGTGACACCAAGCTGAGCAGCCAGGGAGTGTTTCATTTGTGTCCCAGTCTTGCCCTGATAGTCATTCACAACTGCAAGTGTGTCACCCGATACCGCTGAATAGACGGAGCACATGGCCGCAGACAGGCCGGTTTTTCTGGTACATCAAATGTCCTGGGCCAAACTCTAGCTTCTCCCGAGGTTTCTCCACGAATATCATAGCCTTGCAGCAAAAAAAATCGAGCCGAGTTGCAACTTATAACTGCCACAGAATCACAAAGATATACAAAGCTCACAACAACTGCTGAACAGCTCGGTTTCAACTGGATTTTATAGTATAATCCTTGGGATATCTGAGGTACCTTAACCAACTTACTCTTTTCGATGATCAACGCCTATCCCCGTTCAGTTGAGTGTCGCACATTGCGAAGCGTAGTGGATTGCATGTTGCTCAGGAAGATGGCGCTAAGGCACGGCAGTTGATCTGCCTCAAATCGTCATAATCGTCAAACATTGGGTATTTGACCCACAAAGATTGGGATTACATGGACAAATGGAGAATGTGGATTCGACATGCGAACAGAATAAATCAAATGAAGATTGATATAGATTGATCACAATTGAAGACCCCCCTTACCGGCAGATTTCGGCCATTTGATGCCATCAGATCTGGCAGATCCCCTCCGCCGGGAAACCAAATCTCCAAGTCCCAAAAAGCAACCGATTCCACCTGTTTGCCTATACTTTGCCAGCCAGACTATGGAAAAACAAATGAAACTAGTTTCAGGAAACACCACCAAATACTTGATGGTAATCATTCCAGAAATTTGACTACCTATTAATTAATATTATTACATCCCATTACCAAATATTTCAGCAGGACAGGTGTTGGCCAGTTCCCTCAAGCTGACCTGCCCAAGGCGTCTTCTCGACGTCAGCTCTGAAGTGTGGCCGAAGCTGCCTGGGTTGAAGGGTTCCTTTTGATGGAAGAAAAGGATTCGGAATTATCCAATCCAAAAAGAAACACCGAATCAATCAATCAATCAGTCAGTCAAATGAAATGAAATGACATGAAATGAAATGAAATCAATCCATCAATCAATCCATCAATCAATCAATCGTGCGTTTGTCTAGAAATAGAGGATCCTATGGTTTATCATGTTCCCATATTTTCGCCGCAAATGTGTGTATATATACATATAAATTTAAATAACCATTTTCAGGTCTACCCCACACATACCAGTCCAAAGCAATGTCCATCCGCCTGGGTCCGTCTCAAAGTCTCAAATTCCTTCCTTCACGCGGCGTCTCTTGCTACCCTCCTATGCGGAAGTCCCTTAGACCAGGAAGGACTTTTCTGAATGATGGCTGGTGTTGTCGCTCACCAGGCCCACTGCTATCTTTTGTTCTACCATTGGAAACCTCAAATAGTATAGTAACATATAGTAACTATTATAGTTTGTGGAAACATTCAAGTCTTTCATCAGCAAAGGGCCGCCCCTACAGTTGCAAGGGTGAATCCATGGGATGCACCAGTTCTCCATACTCACATTATCCAACTTTCTCGGAGAACGGTGCCAAAGAATCGAAGAAAACACGATTCAGTGGGATGCACATCAAACCTATTTCCAACTATTAGACACACTATATACAACAGATAATCCAAGTTTATCCAAGTTTTTAATATAAGAACATCCAACGACATCATACATCTACATTATTCTGGATTTAGATCTAAACATACACACACACATCTACATATAACAAAACTAAATGTGAACAACATGAGGTAATAACATATACACATAACAAGTCTACAGTACAAAAATCATAACCATATATATATATATATGTATAAATATGTATATATGTATAAATATGTATATATGTATAAATATGTATATATGTATATATGTATATATGTATATATGTATATATGTATATATGTTTATATGTATATATATGTATATATGTATATATGTACATATGTATATATGTATATATGTATATATGTATATATGTATATATGTATATATGTATATATATGTATATATGTATATATGTATATATGTGTATATGTGTGTATATGTGTATATATGTATATATATATATGTATATATATATGTATATATATGTATATGTATGTATATATGTAAATGCATATATATATATATGTATATACATAAATATGTATGTATATATGTATATGTATATATATATATGTATATATATGTATATATATGTATATATATGTATATATATGTATATATATATCTGTATATGTATGTATATATATATGTATATGTATATATATATATGTATATATGTAAATATATGTATATATATATATGTATATATATAAATATATGTATATATATATGTATATGTATGTATATATATAAATAGGTATATGTATATATATATATGTATATGTAAATATGTATATATATATGTATATTTGTATATATATATATATATATGTACATTTGTATATATATTCAATGTATGTGTGTATATAAATATATTATAGTTACTATAATTGTACGATATTATATGTATTAATCATAACTACACTTTTCATGGGTTTGTGTGAAACTGGGGTATTCCTCCCCAAAAACATGCATGTATTAAAATCATTAATAATATAGGGATCATCACAAATTAACCGCAATTAGGGATATCAGATTTTCAGACAAACCCATATATAATACATCTATAGTATTATAGTGTATAATATAGTTGTAAATATAACATGTACAACCATATAACACATGCATATTATATATATATATATTATATCATATGATATTATACCATATATTGTATTATAGTATATTATATTATAGTATATTATATCAAATTAAGTTATGTTAAATTATATCATATTAAATTAGATTATATTATAGACATCGTACATCCTCCACCCCCCTTCCACCCCCACGTCCTCTGGGTCTCCGTCTCCGCCGAAGGTGTCCAGGTCAACGCCCAGCGTCAATTCCTTGCAGCGCTCGAAGCGTCGCTGGACATCGCTGCTCTCGGCGCAGGCTTGCCTCGATTTCAGGGCTCCAAGCATATTCTGTATACATATTGTATATGTATATGTATATATATATATATGTATTTATGTATTTATGTATTTATGTATGTATGTACGTACGTATGTGTGTATGTTTTTTCCAGGTTTGCCCGTATATGCATATATAAAAATATATTTGTATGGGATTATACCATCGATACTATTCAATGCTGTTTTTTAGAGAGGGTAAATGGCACGAGTATTATATGAATTGACATCAACCGGAATATACGATTGTAGCAAGGTACAAGGGATATATGGGATACATGGGATATGTATATATATAAATATATTATTGTAGATATGGCTCATATGGGTAGATACAAGTATGGGATATCTAGGGATATCCCTCCTCCTAAGCTAGGATCGAACCTGATGATATCTGATGATATCGGGGGAAGGACTGTCTCGCCCTGATAAACTAACATCTTTCTGGATATAAACCCACATGCTATGGGGTCAAAACATGGTATATGATGGTATAGGGTTTATGGTCCTCCGGTCCTCCATTCCATAGTGGGAGTCCCTACACTGGGTACTGTATATATACATGTATATATATATACACATCATTTCCATTCATTTCCTATGAATGGATTGATGATCATTTCCCAATATGGGTAAACCATCCAACTTTTGAGCATAGCATACGTGTGATGAGGGATGATGAGGTGTTAAAAAGCCGTGTTCACTTGGGGGTTGGTGCAACCAATGTTTTGCAAACATAAGCAAAGTCAATATCCTTCAGACAATTAAACGGACCAGAAAACTCACGAGAGTAAGAAAGTCAAGATCTTTTGAGGTACCAGCAAACTAGAGAACCCTACCAAACTCGCAGCAAGTTTCTTCCAGAAGCTCGCCACTTGTTCCATGGTGATTTCTTTCTGACCAAAGCCCGTCTCCTGCAGATTTTGCTGATTGGCGGCCCATGCACTTCTGATCCCCACCATTTCCAGCAAGGCTTCGCTTTCAGAATCCGCAGCATCCGCAGCTGCTTCCTTTGAACCACGTTCATAGCTCAGCAGTTGGAGGACAAAACCTGGATTAGGCCATACACGCCATCTCTTAGCCTCAGAACAGTGAAACTTTCCGAAACATGGTGCATTTGGCCATGAAGAAAACCCCCAAAAAGTAACAGTAGACATCATTCATGATCATCCTCCAGTCTTGAAGAAGCAATGAAAGTACCAGGCCACCAACCAACAATTTTGGTTACTAGTTTATAATTTATATCCCCATTTTTCCTGATCTTCCCATCAATTCTTGGTAAATCCATGTAAATCCGACTTTTAAATAGGAACGTCTCCATCCAAACATCCAAAGCTGGCTGTCTTCCCATCAAGTCGAAACAAACATCACCATTTTGCATGGGAACATGTGGAAAATTCACCTCCAAAGCCAGGCGGCATAGATCTGCTTCAACCCCTCCGCAGCAGTGACCTTCTCCTGCGCCATCAAACACGCCGCGGCCACAGTGGCGCTGCGGGAGGCCCCTTGGCGGCACGCCACCAAGGTCTTCCATGGCCCGGTGAAATCAACGGCAGCCTGGGCCCGGTGAAAAGGGCTGCTCTTATCTGGATGGGAATGGGAACTACCCCAAATCTAGGATTTGCATCTTGATTCCCTTTTCATTTTTAAATATCTTTAATATCCTTTAATATTCCCCAAAAAAATTGAAATTTTCCCAAAGATGGGTCCAGTGTTATGCTTGGATGGGGTGGAAACACTCAAGTTGGTTCCCTAAGTTGGGATGTGGCAACTCAAAGCACCTCGGATTGGTCGACAACATTGTTCAAGTACAAATAATTGAGAAACTTGTACACATAGACTGAATAGCATTCTGACCCACACCGTGGGAGCAATGTTCATAAACAGTGGAATACAATGCCACAATCTGCCACATATTGTATGTTTCCAAAACGGATGATGTGACTCCACCGACCCCATGCCCAGCCTTGAAATGCGGCCCCAAATCTTCCGCCGCACTGTCTGCTACAGGAATCAGATACATGTCAGAACCGCTAAGCCCAGCCAGCGGCAATGCCTTCTGCAAGGCTGTGACGTGCGAATCACGCCCGGGTTTTCCACAAAGAATTATCCGCTGCATGCCGTGGGAGGTCAGCAAAGCAGCAATCTGCTTCTCAGAGAGTCCGCCCAAGCCACATAACATCAAATTGCACCTCAAATCAGTCACCTCTGCATGTGGAGGCAATGCATCCGGAGGAGCTTGATCAGTGTACATGGCCAGTTCACTTGCGGATTTTCCCAACAAACTCTGCTTGCAGGCAGCAAATTTCCTGGTGGGAAAAAAACCGACAAAATGAGTTGCCACAGAATCCTCATCCCAAAGATTGCCAGGGGGAAAATAGAAAACCATCGGCCGAAAATTATTGGGTGGTTTGTTATACCCCAATCAAATAATAGGGTATACCGTATACCATGGTATACCCTAGAACAGCCCTCAATACCTGAAATCATATCATCAATACCTCAATATTGGCAGGTTACACCCCCTAAATCACGCTGAAAATGCAATTTAAAACAACTGAAACACAACTATAATTTATTTTAACCCAGGCACATGATACAGTGGCTATACAGCGATACCCATCTATACCCCAATTAAAGGAGCGGATAACCCCACATGTCAACTTCTTCCAATAAGTAGCAAAAGATAGGTGAAGACGGGATGGGAAAGGCAGGAAAGAGAAAGGAGATGGTGGAAGACAGGTCGAATGAGAGAGTTATGTGTGAGAAGGCTGTGTGCGTGAGAAGGTGTATACTATGTTACTATATATGTATTTTTAGAAAGAACTTGGTCAGCCACAGGCTGAGAATCCTGGAAATAATTATTTTATCATTTTTCTGTCATTTTTCAGCTATTTTGGCCTCGTATTTTTTTGTCATTCCTAAATTCTACCTGTCATTGTTCTGTCATTTTTCTGCCATTTTTCTGTCATTTGTTCTGCAATTTTTCTGTGATTTTTCTGTCATGTTCCTTGATTCTTTTTTAAAAAAAACTTTAATTTCTACAATGAGATCAACAAATTCATTGAAACATCGCAGAATTCCAATGAAAAAGTAAAGAAAACGAATCAAAAATTGAAAAAAATCAAAGAAAACAAATTGAAAAGTGAAGAAAATCAAAGAAAACCAATGAAAAGTGAAGAAAACCAATGGAAAATTGGAGAAAATCACAGAACAAAATAAAACGTAACAAACACATAGTAAAATCATCAAAGTCAAACATGAAGGAAATCAATGAAACATGACAAAAAATGACAACAAAATGACAAAAAATGACAAAATATCATGAAACCTCAGGAAAATGAAATTTGTTAAAAAAAGTTTTTGTTATTTTCAGTCATTTTCTTATCATGTTCATTGATTTTTCCAAAAATTTCTTTGGTTTTCCAGCATGGGTTCAACAAATCAACTGAAAAAATGCAGAAGTCCAATGAAAAATCAAGAAAACGAATCAAAAATTGAAGAGAATCAAAAAATACAAATTAAAAAGTGAAGAAAATCAAAGAAAACCATTGAAAAGTGACAAAGACACGGTAAAATCATCAAAACATGAAGGACATCAATGAAAAATGACAAAAAAAACAAAAAGGGACAAACAAATGACAGGGACAAATGACAGGACCAAAAAAAACGACAGAATCAAATGACAAAAAAACGACAATCCAAACGGCAATGAGTTCTTTCTTTGGAGATGGTGGACGGCAGATTGTGGGGAAGAGGTGCGTATGAGAGAGTTGCGTGTGAGAGAGCTGCTTGTGAGAAGGTTGTGTGTGAGCAAGTTGTGCGTAAGAAAGTGTGCGTGTGAGTTGTGTGGAGTAAGTAAGCGCCACGCCTGCCACATAAAGTGAAGGCCGATGTCGCCAAATGCCACACATGCCACAAAAACAGCCGCGGCGACAACGGCGTCAAACGGGACCCAAGCGCGCCACCAGAGCCAGCCCAATGCCATAAGTGCCACGCCTTCCACACAAAGTGAAGGTCAATATCGCCAAGTGCCACGCATGCCACGCCAAATGACACTGGATGTCGCCAAGTGCCACGCCTGCCACGCCAAATGCCACTGGATGTGACCAAGTGCCAGGCCTGGCACACAAAGTGAAGGTCGATGTCACCAAGCGCCACGCCTGCCACGCCAAATGACACTGGATGTCGCCAAGTGCCACGCCGGCCAGGCAAACCGCGGCGACCACGGCGTCAAACCGGACCCAAGGGCGCCACCAGAGCCAGCCCAGTGCCACACAAAGTGGAGATCGATGTCAACAAATGCCACACCTGCCACACAAAGTGGAAGTGGATGTCACCAAGTGCCAAGCCTGCCACACAAAATGGACGTCGATGCGGTGTCACCAACTCCCACACCTGCCACGCCAAATGACACTGGATGTCGCCAAGTGCCACGCCTGCGACACAAACAGCCGCGGTGACAACGGCGTCAAACGGGACCCAAGCCAGTCCAGTGCCATAAGTGCCACGCCTGCCACACAAAGTGAAGATCGATGTCGCCAATTGCCACGCCTGCCACACAGAATGGAGGTGGATGCTTGCAAGTGCCACGCCTGCCACACAAAGAGCCGCGGCGACAAACGGGAACCAAGCGCGCCACCAGAGCCAGCTCTGCCACACAAAATGAAGGTCGATGTCGCCAAGTGCCACGTCTGCCACACAAACGGCTGTGTGAGTGAGTTGTGTGTCAGAGAGTTGTGTGTGAGCAAGTTGTGTGTGAGTGATTTGTGTGTGTGTGTTGTATGTGGGAGAGTTGTGTGCGAGAGTGTGTGAGTGATTTGTGTGTAGTGTGTTGTCTGTGGGAGAAGCGTGTGTGAGAGTGTTGTGTGTGTGTGTGTTGTGTGTGTGAGAGTGTTGTGTGTGTGGGGGAGTTGTGTGTGAGAGTGTTGTGTGTGAGAGTGTTGTATGTGAGAGAGTTGTGTGTGAGTAAGTTGTTTTTGAGAGAGGTGTGAGGGGGTTGTGAGGCGGGAGGCGGGAGACGGTGGGAGACGGAAGACGGCAGATGGACGTGGACAGGGTTACACAACCAAAACATGAACCCCACACAAAGATGTGGGGAACATACATGAACAAATCACTAGGAACAAAAAGCAATCGACACAAATTATGAAAACTATAACAAATCGTCCGAAACCAAATTTATATAGCACACCCAAAAAAAGATCGCATAATCAATTTCCAGTATTGAGTTACCATCACTGGCTGGTAAAAACCACCATTATGCCAAATTGGAAATTTAATAATGTGGGTAAAACAATAATAAACCATCCTCCAAATCACCACCAAGAGGTATAAACCATTCCCAGTCATGGGTGGTTCATCATTGTTTTACCCACAGGAGTAGCTTTTACCATGGCTTTTACCTTTGAAAAAATGATGGGAAAATGATGAAAACCAGTCACATTTTCCCCATTTTTCACCCAGTTTCTCTTCCAAAGGGACATCTTCTGTGCTGTCCCAGGCCTTCTCCGCCTCCGCATATCTCACCTGCTGCCCGTTGTGCCACGCCGTGGCCCAGGCTGCGTGGCAGCCCACGCGGCGGCAGAAGTGCCACGTGTCCGCGGGGGCCGGAACCACCTGGTCCCTGGGAAGGGGATGGAAATGGGGAGGTTAATTGATTTTCCAGTATTTTGATTGATTTTCATGAGCAAAAAAATGTGTTTTGTTTTTCACTAACTGAAGTCGAATTATGATCTAAGTATTGTATCATAAGGCGAATAGATACCCAAGGCGACCTAAAATGGTCCGTGCACATACTGAGGGTCAATATCAAACCATATCTAAATCTCAAAAGTATAAACCGATTGCATTCATCATGAATAATCCCTAGCAACGATGGAACACCAGGAACTACATGCAGGGTACGCAGTGAAGGAAAGCAAAAAGCATGCAGGCCCGCAGCCCTAAAAATGGGCCCGCGTCGCGGCGCAAGCCAAAGGAACGTTTCAAAAGGTGCAAGGATGCCCGTGCTGTTCTGCAGCAAGCATGCGAGGTTGAACTTTGACTGCCGCAAGCAATGCAAAGAATTGCAAAGACATGTGTACAGCCAGCGGAGTGTACAGGACCCTGGGCGCAACACCCGGCACCCCCAAACATCAAAGTTGACTTACTTCCGCACTCTGCAAAGCAGCTACACCAGGAAAGGCAGCAAGACTGGCTTTTGTGAGTGGCACCGTTGATTCCTGGGGAGCGGGGCCATGTTTGCGTGCGCATGTCCGCATGCATCACGCGGAAGCAACGCTAAATTAGCTATTCGTATTGGCTTAGCCGCAAAACTACTAAGAATGTGCTCAAAAGCTACTAAGCACGGTGTCGCCTTTCGCATTGGCTTGGCCGCAAAGCCACTAAGAATGTGTTCAAAAGCTACTAAAGACAATTTCGCAATTCGCATTGGCTCGGCCGCAAAACTACTAAGAAAATGCTCCAAAGAATAAAAGAAATAGTATCTTCTTCTTCTTTTCTTTAACTTTGAGGGACATCCTTAGTAGTTTTGTGTCCGAGCCATTGTGATTTGCAACTCACGCCTTAGTAGTTTTTCATGAGCCCCTTAGCCTTAATTAGCAGTTTTGCGTCCAAGCCATTGTGATTCGCAACTCGTGCTTTAGTAGTTCTTCGCGATATGCTTAGTAGTTTCACGTCCAAGCCATTGCGATTCATACCTCATGTCTTGGTGGGTTTTTTATTAAGGCATTGGGGTCGCTTTTTCTCAAAGCCTAGGCGGGCCCAAGGCCCCAAAACCGGTGTCAGCTTGCGGCGGCAGTAGCACACTTGCTGCCTGTATTGAACAGCTCCTGTTTGTGTTTTGTGGCCCCAAAACAGGGGCCAGATTCTGGACCCAAAAATGGGGCCACAATACTAAAATTCGTAGCCCAGCTTCCAAATTTGTGGCCACAATTTTGGGCCCATGGTATATGCTGCGTTTTGCCTTCTGTAAAGAGCGAGTTGAGCTGCGACAGGTTGCATCTTTCATTCATGTTTTCTTGCGCTTGGTGCCAGGATGCTGGTTTCACAGTATATGTGTATGTATGTAGTATACTGTATGCATATGTATGATTGTATGATTATGTATGGTCATACACATGTCAATATACCATAACATACCTATACAATCCAATACATCCATATCTCTCTCTCTCTCTTCAATAAGGTCCCATCGCTTACCGCGTGTTTTTAACAATTTCCATAAATTTCCACAAACCAATGTCGGTCCCTTACATGTTTAGTATTGCCGGGGTTTTCGCGGTGGCTCATATATTATATATAATATTATATATATATATATTAATATAATATATTATATATATTATATATTATATATAATATTATATATTACATCTAATATATCATAATTCTAATATTCTAAATATCATATATAAATTATATAAATTATATATCCCTATCGGTAATTGGTGGGGGGGTTGGGACCCCTGGTTTATTTTTATTAATTAAATGGGGTCCCCTGCAGTATGTTTTTTTCCAAAATTCTTCAGTCAAACATACCCTCGGTTTATTTTTAACATAAGAAATTAAACCAGCACAATCCAGTTCAGGTCCCACCCAGCATCCACCAGCTAAAAATTAAACAAGCTACTCGGCAGTACCTGGTTTAATTTTACAGGATCATTGGGTTGATTTTGTTTTGCCAAGACCAAATATTAAACCACCTGGTTCTACACATGTCAGTGAGACTTGGTGTAAAAACCGTTGCGCCCACCATTTTTCCCCCCAGGTGCGTGAACCAACTGAACTTTCTCAAAATTAAACCCCATGGTTTAATTTCAGCTGTTTTAGCTCATTGTGCTGCCTCGTGTTCCGCCTCGGGATACTGCAGCCATGGTTCCTGACACGTGTCCTAGCACAGCTCCGTGAAGACGATCCGGCGTGGACAGCAAGGTTCTTGCACAGTTGGGAACAGCATTGCTGCAGCCCAAATGCTCCATCTCAAGCAGAGCAAGTCCATGGGAAAGGCGCTGCGGGACCATGGTAAACTGTTTCTATCTGTTTCGGGCCCCTTGCGTGATCCCAGATCAGGTCAGAATAATTAATCAAGGGGTGGGTGAGTCCATACTCCAATGAGAAGTCACGGAGCTGTGCTAGGACACGTGTCTGGAACCATGGCTGCAGTATCCCGAGGCGGAACACGAGGCAGCACAATGAGCTAAAACAGCTGAAATTAAACCATGGGGTGGGTCACATCTCAAAATTAAACCAACTCAACTTTCTTCAGGATCTTAAGGAGGTGGGTGGACCCCCTGTTTTCGTAAGAATTTTTTAATTAAACCAAAAAAATTAAACCTAACTCAGTGTCCACCTGGTTTAATTTAGCTAGTGCGAGGGATATTAAATTATATAATAAATATTCAGCAATAATTGGCTCCCAGAACTTCCCACATCTCCAGCGCTCCTCCGCATCTCCAAGAGCGACTGCACCAGCAGTGCGCTGGGCCAAATTCGCCAACGACACGCTACCACCGAGTCAAAGGCGCTGTGGCAGGAACTGGTCGTGGTCAGATACGACAGCAGCACCACCACACCTGCGACGAAAGTCGTTGGAACATGTTGGAACATCATTGGAAAGTGGATCCCAGATTTTTTAGTGCTTGGAACGTTGAAAGATTTCAACCACTACACCCTATTGAGGGTGTTTCACAGGGAACTGAAAAACCTCAGACACCCATGGCCAGACAGGAAAACAGAGACCAATAGATTTGCACCACGTAGATACTGTCGACGGTTTCGTCTATTCCCACATTGACATTCGCATCCATTGGCCGACCAGGACAACCACAAAAAACATCTCTCAAGGCAGCAGGCTATTGCTAAAGACAACCACAACATGTCCCTATTTATGTCGCTTCATATTCCCATTTCAAGCCATTAATTGTGGACTGATTGGATTATGCCAAGAGACTGCGAGATGCACCCTTGCTACAGGCGACCAAGACGTTGTTTAGATCATCCTCCAGAGCTTCTTGGATGAATTGCACTGCCTCCTCCAAAATCTGGAGCACTTGCCTCAGTGGTTGGATAGATCTTACTGTCATTCTTCTGATCTGCCACGTCTTTTATTGCCTGAAACTAGTCAATGGTCAACAACCGGGCCGCCTAACCAACTTTAGTGGTGTTTCTATTCTCTTCGGGATGTTGAATGATGTCGATGTCATCCACCGACACACCATTTGCTCACTTCAAGAGACCTTCCAGCTGAACATTTCCTGCAGCAATTTGGGTATGGCTGAAAATACTTTCGAACTGAAACCATTCACTACCAACAGTGAGCAAATTTGCGGCTCCAGCCAGGCCACCAATCTTTAAACCCAAAGCCATTTCTTCTAGTTACTAGTTGGTAAGTTCACCTCCAGGAAAACATATTCATCAATAGATCATCATCCCCCATGTCAGGGATCGGACAATAAACAGCATTCAAAACTACTGGACAGTATCATTGTGTCATTGGTTTTTATTATTAAAACATAGATAAATATTATTATGTATATTATTATGGCAATCATAGATGGACATAAACTGGACATGTCTACTATTGCTTGTTTATGTCCATCTATCGTTGGTCAACCCCCTATTTATGAGTATTTATGCTGGGTCAGACCACCAACCATTCAATTTCCCCCCGTCTTCCCATTTGTCCTTAACTTAAAACACCCCAACTATAGATCCATCAGAAAACCTAGTTCACCCAGTTCCAAACCAACTTCACCATCATATTCCCCAAAAAACACTAAGAAATCATCATATAATCATCATATAATCATCATAAATCCCATTCAATCCCCACATTTTTGCAGGTGAACCATCTCATTTTTGCCTCAACCCTGCCGTCCTCAGCTTGGCTTCCCAGGCGCGTGGGATCCTCCGGCACCAACGGTGCCAGGTGCAGCTCCGTGCTGCCGCCCTGCAGCGCCAGCTGCGCGTGGCTCACGTGGTCGTCTTTGTCAGGCCGGCCGCAGAGCACAAGATGCGTCACGGCGTAGCTCTGCAGCAGCACCTGGGGAGGTGGCTGCATTTTTAAGTGTATCTTAAATATATATAATTATATGTATATAATATATAATATATATTTGCACATAGTATATTATATGGTATCTTTAGACATCCATTAGTCAGTGGATCTAACAATGGATATAGACATTTAACATCATTTAACATGATTTAACATGATTTATAGTAGCCATCAAAAGGTATTTAGTCACTAGTGGAAAGCTGAGCCCACCTCGATGCCGAAGGAGCTCAAACCACCGAGGCCACCCAGAAAAAGCTGATCCTCAGACCAGCTGAAGGCCCCGAGCGTGTCACAGCTGATGCATGTTGAACACAAGGCACCCAGGCTATGTCTAAACTCGCAAAAACATCATCAAAAACACCAGTTTATGGACATGGACATTTCTTCTGGTATCTCTGTTTCAGTCTGTTTCATTGAACATTTCTGCAAACCATCTTAAACAAGGACGCAATTCAATCACAAGTACCCTCCAGTAAATTAACATAGACCCTGCCAAATAGGGGCTGGAAGACTAGTTTCCACTAAAAATTCGTTAATTTACCAGGGGATAATCAGTTCACCGAAATTCAACAATCACCAATGGTGCAAAATCAATCAGATGTATCAAGATCACCTGCAGCATCACCTGGTGAATATGTCCCAGCGTCCCAGAGTTTCAAAGTCCCCAACTTTGGAACCCCCATCATTCTGTATCTTGCCAGAGTTTGACATCCATGATTTTCGATATTTTTGGGTGACTCTTTTATGATTTTATGAGCCTTCTCTCAACATCTCAGATGTTTTACGACACCATAAGAAGTCACCATCTTGGGACTTTGGGCTGACAACCCTTTGGGACACATGCATAATTTATTGTCAACAGATCCTCAGGATTTGATTTTCCAAGTTCCAGATTGTCTATAATGAGTGTTATATAGTGTTATCTTATCATGGTATATCGTGGTATATCATAAAGGTTATCTGATTACCCCAAGTCAGTTTTGGACTTCCACCGTCTGGGTTTGTCTGAGAATACGGAAACCCTAGATTCGATGCTTTCTCGCCATTCAAAAAAACGAAATTCGTGGTATCCGCACATTGGAAGACACACCCATCTAACTCTCCCAATTTTTGGGTATATCAAAGGATACCCCCCATATTATGGGATACTTTTGGAAATCTTTTGGAGGTATTTGGAGGTATCTGCCATCTACTTATCCCAAATATTCCCAAATCACCTTTCACCACCAAGCTTCGCAAATTCGCGACACCCGCGGACACGGCTCGGGCCGCTCAGGCGTCATGCGAAACATCAACCGGGCACATATTGTCACATGACAAAAATGTAAGCGTATCATGTAGATATGGTGAACTTATCTAGTTAGTAAAATGTATAATTGTACAATAATATTGTAAAATTACATACGTAAATACACATTTAAGAATGTCGCATCACATCTTTGAGCCCAGATCGTCCTTCGGGATCCATCAAAAACGCAAAAAAGACGCATCATCGTTGTCACCTGCCACTAGTATCATCACCTTTGAGTTGCTCCCAAATCCTGATTGAAGTGACAAGATTTTCATCGCATCGCATGACATTAATCCGGTTTCTGACCGAGAGATTCCGCACAATGAAAAGCCGCTGTTTGGAGGGACTTTGTCCACTGCAGCTTCCACGGCCACGGAAGCAAAAACAGACTCATTACCTACAGTGAGACGAAATCGTCCTGCTCAAGTTTGCAGCAAAAAACAAGATCCAGGACCTGGTGGTTGAGCCATCCATCCTTACTGCTGCGTAGCAATGGAGATATTTACACTTGCAATCAGCAAAGAGTGAGTATTCGTTGCTCCTGCAAATGTAGCCATTATCTAACATCACCGCTGACATATGACTTGGACCAACTACCAATGGTGGTTTGCACCGTCAACAAAGTAAAAGCCATTGGCATCCATTGGCTAACACTATCCCAGGTAAGGAAGAACAGGGTCAGTTGAAGCCACCGGCGTTGTTAGTACTTATACTTGACACATGATCCAACATTCATGTAGCAATCATGTAGCTGAGAATAGCGTGTGCGGGATGGAGGCATTTGACCTTTCACGCTATAGATTCGCCATGATTGGCCCAAGCATCATAATATTATGACTGGTATTCATCATCTGACAGAACGTGGGAACAACGTTCAAAGGAATCTTCCAATGATCAAAGGAATTTGAGTCGCAAACAACAACACAAAGAAATATCTTGCAAAGTGGGAATATGTGGGAATGTAGAGTGCTGTTTTTAGATGGCTGCCTTTCTTATATCTCTGGTTATTTAACATAGCCATGGAAAATCACCATTTGTAATAGGTAAACCATCTATAAATAGGTCATTTTCCATGGCGAACTGTTAAATAACTAGAGGGTAATGGATTAAAATTTAAAATGGGACAGCTGAGTTGCCCGTGCATCTCTGCATTTTTTCACCCCCTTGGTATCCATGGTATCCATAAGATTATGATCAGTCCATGCCCAACAAGATGCGAGATCCAGCAGCTTGAAAAAGTACGAAATACCATCTCTATACTGAACTTGAACCACTTCTAATTAGCTGTGGCATTTTAGAAATCAAAACCCCCCAAAAACAATAAACTGGTTGGTGGTTTCAACCCCTCTGAAAAATATTAGTCAGTTGGGATTATTATTCCAATATATGGAACAAAAAAACATGTTCCAATAAAAGACGACACAAAAGCAACACACAAACCCATCATCTTGAGATATCTTGAGCAATTCCAGGCCACAGCAGAGGCCATGTCCTACCAGCGTGGTGCCACGGACTGGAAAGCGGACCCTGGACTTCTGCCAGCGACCGCCCTCCGTGCCAGGCACCCTGCGCAGCGCGGTTTATTGCGCGGTGGCGTGTCAAAAGGAAGCCGTGAAACTCTGCAATTCCAAAACATGCCTCCGGCAGCCTGAAGGACTTGATAGTCATAGGTGCAGAGTAGAATGTCCGGCCACCCCAACCCACAATTGCCATCAAGTTCATGTGCTTTTAGTACTTGCGGGTATTGACTTTTGCTTTGGTTTCGGGGTAGCCAAAGGTGACCCCTACCGATACTACTGCATTTCAAACTCTGCAACAAAACAGTCTAAGTACGCACATCATTCACTTCTTCCTTTTGACAAAGTGAAGGGCCCACGCGCTGCCAAGGCCGATTTTTGGTGCAACTTGGTTCTTCCACGCGTGGGCCGCTTGGGAAACTGTCAGACCCCAAAAATGGCGATGATACTGACCTGATCTCTGAAATAAAGAGCTTGTGTGGAAACAATTTAGGATCCCTGGTCATGGTTCAGTTTGGGAGGGACAGCGCCTCCAATTTCTGGGTTTCCAGCTTTGCTTTGCAGAAGGACTTGAGAAACACGGGATGCCATGATCAATCCTCCTGTTGCCGCAGAAACTGCCGTGAAAAGTCCAGGATATTGAATCATGAATGCACCCGAAACTGCCGTGAAAAGATCAACGCTTTGATAGACACAACTCGCTGGACATGGACAACTCGCTGGTCTGCCGGGGATGTACCCTCTGGTAATTTAACATAGCTATTGAAAATGACCATTTATAGTGGATTTTCCGATTGAACATGGTGATTTTCCATAGTTATGTTAGTTTACCAGAGGGTAACTAGAAAAAAATCCCTCCGGCAGCCACAGAAAATTCAACACATCCTTCGACAGCAAAGCGCCAAACAGGCCATGGCCGTGAGATCTCTAAAAACGTCTTTATCCTAAAAAGCCGTTTGAGGGGGAACATCAGGATTTTACATATCAAACATGGATTAAAGGATGATTTTAGATGATTTTAGGATATTTCAATGGCTGGTGGTTGACCTACCCCTCTGAAAAATATGACTTCGTCAATTGGGCTGATTTTTCCATTCCCAACTGAATATATGGAAAGTCATAATCCATTCCATGGTTCCAGTCACCAATCAGATGGCTTTTAGGATATTTCAACCATATTTCAATGGCTTAAAATGTGTTTCTTGGTTTATAGACCATTTTCATTCATCCCCATTCATTAACTAGTTCGTTATATCGACCATAAACCACACTTAATGGGGATACCAATGGATACGGAAAAATTCGCACCCCGGGCCCCACCATCCCCGGGCCCCACCGGGCCCCACCATGGATCCTATGAATCCCATGTCCTCGGAATCCCAACCACAGGACTGGTCGGCGTCCGGAAAATCCACACGCATCTCGGAGAGATCTCCGTGGGATTCCGTGGCATTCCGTGGGGGTAAAACTCTCATGGGAACATCGCTGTGAAATATGCTGAAATATCATGCTGAAATATTTTTAAGACCATGAAGATCATGAAATATCAGCCTATAAATTGGAATGTCATGCTGAAATCATGCTGACATATGCTGACCTGATCAAACAAATACAAATAAGTGATTATTTTTTTGATGATATCATTGTAGCACGTGAGTTGACTAGAATGCCAGATCAAAATTTCACTTCTGACAAGACAATGCCTCATCAGATCTTATTAGTCAATAAGTTAGTGCAGCTTTCATACAGGCAGTCGGCTGTTGCAGTATACTGACGCTAATGACCCCTTGGAAAAAAGGTATTTATCAAACTTGGTACACCCCAAAACCGTGAGTTTCCTCATTGAGAAGAAATACTTGGTGTCCCATGTTTGGTGTCCCATCTGAAGAAACACCAAAATCTATGTTTCTATACATTGATGTCATCATTTATTTACAGTATTCAGACATCGAATCCCGCTCGCATCCACCATCCAGGATCGATCCGCAATCCAGAATCAGAGTGCCCATTTCATGAAATCAATTTGGTTTGCCAAGAAATCAAGGATACCCCAAGATGGCTGTTCTTTTTTGGGAAATCAGGGGGACCTGAATGCTGATTCCATGGGATTTGGACCATCCACCGAACCATGTTGGCCATGCCAGGCGACATCGTAGACGAAACCATTATCTCCGGGCTTCATCTGATTCGCCAAAAAACTTGTATTCATCTTGGCCTTGTAGCGTGAAACAGCTGAACAGTGGTGGATAAACCCTCAAACTCCGGAGCAAAAGTGGTCTAGGTATGTCTGGTTGCTGGTGTCAATCCAAGAAATGGGAAAACCAATTGGGGTTTATCGTCCTCACTATGACAGAGAGCATACCACACAAATGTACCCTTGCACTCATGAGCACACCAATGCTAAATGGGTCATAAGTGTCATAAGTTGATGAGTCTGTGAGTCTTCCTTGTGTCCAATTTGTGTTGTGTAGTTGATTATCAAACAAGCATTAAAAAACTATTCGAACATTTTTTGGAACTGCCTGTCCAAAATGGAGAAAATTGAAGAATTACTCACAGATATATGTGGGGCCGTTTGACCCATGTCACAGATCTTCCTAGCAATTTTTGCTGAACTTATCGCCATATAATCACCATCATGTTAAACAGTTAAACGTCATGTTGTCATGTTCGTTGTATATGCCTTAATAATTGCAGTTGATAAAATCCATAAATCATTTGGTATGTAAAAATAAATAAAAACATGTAGTATGTATATGTGAACCGTTGTCCAAACTCAATGTCTTCGCCTTGCTCCCCAACAAAGGATATCTATCGCTTTTGGGGGGTCTATCGCTAGGTTTTGTAGATGTAAAGCGCAAATCTGTGAAAGGAAAAGACGAGGAAAGGAAAAAGAAAGAAGAGCAAAGGAAGAGGCGGGAAAAGGAATGGAAGAGGAAAGACAAGGGAAAGCAAGAGGAACGGAGGAAAGGGTTTTGCAGTGGTTTGCGGCTGCTTTTTGAAGAAATGTGTATCGCTGACGTATCGCTAGGGGTATCGCTAATTTCGCATCTTGCCAAACATATCCGAAAACCATTTGCCCGGGTCTTACATTCCTCTATTTAAGGCAACTAGACAAATCCGCCCGCACCGAAGGTGCTGGGGCGTGATCGTCCGGATGGCACTCGTACAAGGTTACAGGTTTACCTGGGGGGGGGGGCATTTTTCGGCCAAAACCTCCTGTTTTTGATAGGTCGTGACGCTCGCCTTCAAAAAACACTGTAAAAAACAGTACGGAAGACACCTGTTCGTGAACGCGCCCGTCCAAAATCGGCAAGCGAAAAGTGAAAAAACCCCGTGTTTTTCAACTTTTTGACCTCAATTTTTTGGTTTGCAACATCTTTTTTTGCGGTTCCGCAGGTGGCCTGGCCCGGAGGCGGATTTTTGAGTTTTTGGACCCGTTTTCGGACTGATTTTCGTCGTTTTGTGATAGCAGAAACACTGGTTTTTACAGTGTTTTTCTGTTTTCTGCATGCTTGACGGCTAGCTTCAAAACTTCCAAAAACCTCGTAAATTACGCTGTTTTATGTTACGGTGTGAATGAAAACATCGTAAATACCAGTGTTTTTTGACGTTGGTTAAAAAACACTGTAAATTACAGTGTTTTTGGCCACCTGACCCTCAAAAACCATGGTATTTGCAGTGGTTTCTGCTTCTCACCGCGCAAAAACACTGTAAATAACAGCAATTTCGCCGTTTTTTCATGTTTTTCGTTATTTTTGAACTGCGTTGGTCCGCTATACATGGCTATCAAATTCTTCGCGTTTTTTTTCCGACAATCAGTACTTTCGGATGTTTTTGGTCTCAATGGCCGACATCATTGGCAGTTACGATGCGGTGCGGGCGGTTGCCGTCGCGAAGCGACGAGAATATATCTAATATTGAACCATACTCCATTCACCAGGTATTCACTTAGGCCTACAAATCACAATTCATACCCTCTGGTAAACTAACATAGCTATTGAAAATGGCCATAGAAATAGTGGATTTTCCCAGCTATAAAATGGTGGATCTTTCCATAGCTATTTTGACATAACCAGAGGGTAACTGGAATCGCTATCCTTACAACAGTATCTCGGCCTTGTGTCTCGCAAGCTCGTTGTCGCTAAGCTTGTTCAGATTGGCCTGGCGTGAGCTGGTTGGAAGATGATCCTCGAATTGATAGAAAGGGTAGATGGAAATGTAGTACATATATCTATAATTATCTATATAATATATATCATATGTAAATTATCATATCTTTATAATCCACCATCATCAACCAGATGTTTTGAACACAGCTCAGTTGGATGTTTGTGGAAAACTGATGCAGTGCCGCAGCTCCAGTACCGGCCTCGTGATAATCAATCTCGTCAGGCCTTGGTTTCCCATGTATTCACCCTGACCAGCTCAACCGGAAAAACATGTGATGTTGGGAGTAAGAAGCGGAAATCTAGACAAAAAAGTACCCCGTAGGTATCCAATGATTTGATGGTTGATAGTTTTTTTGTTGTAAAATCGTCATTTTTCTATTTTGCATATTTTTAGTCAACAACAATGGCACTCCTTTTGAGGTCTTCCACATTGACCGCCGGATCCCCATCATTTCACCGCACTTCAACGTCTTGCCGTCACCAGCGGTCTGGCACCCAGCGGTCTTCACCAGTGCCAAACCGGCGGACGGAACTTGGCCATTTGAAAGTGGCCAGAAATGGGATCCTGTGGACTTTCATGGTCTTACCATATATCCAAGACTGGTTGGTGGTTGCTGCTAACCCCTCTGAAAAATGATGGACTTCGTCAGTTGGGATGATTCTTCCTGACATATGGAAAAATAAAAAATGTTCCAAACCACCAATCAGAATATAAATATATTGTAATTATAATTATATATATATGTATCTTATCGTGGTTTTTCCAATCTGACATAAATGAAAGTGGCCGGTTTCAACATTTCCATACATTTCCGGTAAACCAAATGAGTAGAGGCTGGATCCTTCACAGGGTTTCTGCCCTGATCAATCGGCAGCCGACGGTGCCTCAAGCAGCCAACCTGGGCACGAAGGGCCAAAGTTGGGTGATACCTTCCCCCTGATGCTGAATACTTCCCCCCAGTGAAGCTCTGGTTTAGTACTCGTCCCCTTCATTATTCATTCTTGGGATCCAGTTCTGGCGATTAACTCCCCAATATTGGATGATTTCAAATGGTTTCAGTGTGACCATCCAGTATTGTGGATATCCGCATCTACGCAATTTTTGGGATGACCTCTACAATTTGATGCTAGAAGTGACAAAACCCGTATTCAACAGATATTTGAAAGTGATGTTCGAAAATCCCCAAACCGGACACTTACTAACCCCTGTTGAGAAACTGTGACCCATTGATGTGCAAAAAGTGTCCGTTGGAGAGTGCGCCTTGGCTTTAGAAGTGCATTAACTTTGTGTCAACTGTTGTATATGTAACGCAGTTGTAAAACAAACGTCATTTCTCATGCAGCTGTCATCATGTTCCTGAAGCGCACAGTGAGAGTTCTGCATCGACTAACAGCACAACGGCAAGCCAAAGTACAGCCAAAGTTACAAGTCACACTCTTCCACCACCAGAAACAATTGACGGCATTTTGCGGATTCACTTTTAACATATTGTAATTTATAGTTTCAGTTGTTGTCCATGTTGACCCTCATGCCTTCCTGCTCCCGGTTTCCATGTCGCATTTTTGAACAAGCCACATACCCGATTGTTGATATCCAATGATATCCCCATGAAAAATCCTCATCACGTTGCCCCTTGTGATTGGTCAAAAGAATCCAAAAGATCTATGGAACAACGATGTTTGATGCCGGATAAATCCCAAACCATCATCATCATATTCCATCATATTCCATCATGTTCCTAGATATTTGTGGAATATTCTATGGAATATGATCTTATATCCCAATATTCCATGATATTCCTAGATCATTCCTATTGCCAGATGATATCCCCAAACCATGCCCAGTGGATCCCAGTGGCCAAGGCACAGTTTCCGCATTGAGCTCTGGCTCCTACCTGATAGATCACATGGCCTCCACCGTCTCCGAAGCCTGTCATGGGATCCAGTAAAGTGCGATATCCCATGCGTATCTATAGCATTCTATCTATATGGATGACTACTACATTTATAAACATATTATAAAATTATATAGATAGAGTCTATTAACTATACATATCTATATCTAATTTCATATATCTAGTTGGAGTATATTATAGTCCTTTTCTCATTCACTCTGCACAGGAACCCTCTTGAGTAGGCAGTCACAGGATGCATCCTCTGAAGTTTACGAAAAGTGTTTCCAAGCAAATCACCGCAATGCCGCGACTTTGGATCATCCTTGGAAACCCCATTCAGCCCCCCCAGTCACGACATGAATGTTTATCGTGCCGGTACCAAACAAATCTCCCAACATCCCGAGCTCTCCAATGTTTATCCCGCCCATTTGGGTCCAAAAAAGAGAGCATTTCATGGGAAAACGCCCATTGTCAATCATAATTCCTTTTTTATCGGGTACTTCCCTCCCTGATTTTTTCAGATCCAAAGATTCAGACTGAAAAACCGCCCCAAAAAAAATCTGTGGGACTCCATCCATCCCTAAGGCCCCAGGCTGCATCGACCCCCGAACTGCTTGAGGCAGCTGGCCGTTCGCCCAAAGCTCGCACCGCCAGCGCTGGGCCCAGCGCAGCTGGGGCAGCTGGGAGACTGAGCGAAGAGTGCCAGATGTGTGGCGTCCACCTGCGAGGTCGCCATATGTTTGGGAGATATACAAACAAACCATCAATGGCTCTTCATGGCTATCGCAGAAATCACACTATATACGTAAATAATATATATATATATATTATATGATATATAGACTGGTACTGAATACCCATTGATTATGTTTTCGTATGTATATTGTATATATTAATTATATTATATCACATCCTGTTTCTCGGTAGATATTGAGCACACTCGAGGATATGTGCCAATCATCATTAAGACACGAGATTATACAATACTGCTTGGTGGTTGAGCTCTTAAAACAAAAAAGCACACCACCAATCAGATCTTCAATCTGCAATGGTTCCACTGGGATGATATAGGTCTACTTATCTTGAAAACCCCAAGTGCTGTTCAACAGACCAGTCTCGAATGGAGACTCCAACACTATTCTGACACAGTTTCTGACATACCATCTGGAAGTTATGGCATATTTCTTCTGACATTCTATCTGGCATCTATTCTGACATTCTATCTGGCGGAACTCACCGTTGGGATCCGAGGCTGCTAAAATCTAGAGACATCTAGAGACCCTCACCTGACAAATTAAGGCATACAAAAGTCCAACGGAAGGGAACAACTCTGCCTCCTAAACGCTTTACCCTTCAAGGGGTTTATCTAAAAAAAGAGCCTAGGGTCTCCCCCAAATTCCTTGGACACAATAACTCTCATTTTCCTATTGAAATGGTTATAATTTGAGGGTCTGCCATCCATTTTTTGATACACCAGGTCCCTTATGCAAGCTGGAAACCCCAGCATAGCCGCCGTCTGCCAACATCAGCTGCACCTCATGTCAGTGGCAAGAAGCTGAATAAGTCATTAAATTCATTGTTAAAATCAACATCATAAGACGTCAAACATATTTCATATATCATAATGCATATGTATATATATATATATATGTAGATATATGTATATATTATATCACATATTTGTTTTCATTGTTTTTCATTAACCACAATCCTCCAGTGTCAAACGCCATAGTCTAGGCATGGCCATAGAAGAGCCCCCTTTTGATCTGGAGAGTGGAAGTGGTCAGTTTGAAAATAAAAGACTCTTTAAAAACCATATCATTACCCTCTGGTAATTTGTTACACAGCTATTGAAAATTGCCCAGTCGAAATAGTGAGTTTTCCCATAAAACATGGTGATTTTCCATAGTTATGTAAACGTTTACCAGAGGGTACCCTATTCTCATCCCCGAACGATGATCATCGGTCCATCATTTATCAACTACATCATTAATTACATCCCCATGTTTCATGCCAAAAAAAAATGTTAAGACAGGTTAAAACCCACCAATCAACATTAATCAACCATAAACTGCTCAAGTTTTGCCCATTAAAAGCCACTCATCAACCATAAACTGCTCAAATTTTGCCCCAGTGACCACTTCTTGCAGCGTCATCTCCGCGGAAGCCGATGGCAGCGGCCGTGAGCGGCGCCCGAAGCTGTCACGCCAGTGCCCCGCGCTGCTGAAGGGAGCGGCTAACTCCTGGATTTGGATTGGTTGAGCAACCATAGATTAGCTGATAACCCCATGATGGTAGCTGATATCCCCATACAAATTATAGGAATTTCATGTCATTTATGGGGATATATATATATAATATATATATAATGATATCATGGTAGTATTTTGTAGTACTTGTGTATCATGGGATGTAATGGGATGTAGCTAAGCAAGTATACGATCTTTGGGTGTATCTGGGAATGGGGTATAGAGTATACACACCATTTTTTTCGGCAAGTACAATAGGGACATTAATTGACCAAAGAAATCTATATGTAAGCATTCAATTTTTTGTCATTTGGATCATTCGATTTCTTCCAGGGATGCAATGAATTGAACGCAACGCACCAAGGCACCAAGTCAAACTGTTAGGATAGCATGGGATAGCTGGTAAACTTAAACGGTTCGAACCGCTTCGACCTTCAAAGATGGGGGCAACAGTGTTGGTGTTGCCACAGTACAAGTTCTATCAAGTATTCGATTCGACTTGAGAAAAGAATAGAAGTGGCATGATAATGAACAAACACAGGAGATCAACATCACATTTAAGAAGAATACAATGAACTTAGGATCACAACCCCGAAAATGCAATGGCTAGCACAGAACAATGGCTTGGAACATCTCTGTGGGTTCCCTAAAATTAGCTATGAGACACTTCAACCATGATTCATGGCGTGGGGAACCTTGCATTTGCAGACATCGTTTGCAAAAACTGGGTGTCCTGAGAAAATGGGCTACACATTGGCAATTTTCATCCCGGGAACATTTCGATTAACCATGGGCAACCATGGGGCACCCAATTTTCCAACAATCCCATGTGACAAGCCTTCCGCACACCTCAACACACGACGACGGACAACGATATATATAAATCATATTTGAATATATTTGATCACATTAAATGGATATTAAATCATCCTTCCATCAACCTCCAATTCCTTCAGAAAGTCAACCATCGTCAACCATCATGGCTTTCCCATCGCAAACCCCCAACCGATCGTCGCGAATCCAGGCTTCAAAGGACTCAACCCGACTCCCAAAGCCTGGAAACATGAGGAAATTGATGAGAATCCGTTGGAAAAGGGGCCTTTTCCTAGCCCATTTTCAGACAAACTCATGTTGTCTTTTTTGAGGCTGGATTCTGTGGATAAAATATCATAAAATATGATAAAACTACGGGATTGATATCGGTTGATCATTTGACCAAATGACAAAACCCAGTTCCTAATAGGAGAGATCTCCATGAGGCCATAAAAAAGATGACTGTCGGTCGTGGCATGGACCAAGGATGGACCAAGGATTAGGCCGAGGTAGTACGAAAGTATGCGAAACTTTCCCTAAGTTACTAAGACTTGGTGCTCAATGCTTGAAAATCTTGAAATCACAGGCCAATCTGATGAATCTGTCTGTGGTTTGGTGGTCTGATTGAGATTCTTTCGAACAGTGTCCTGCCCATGTTGGGACACTTGTTGGGGCTCCAGGAGTTTCATCATAGAAATCAAGCAACTGAAGCTTAGATTCTTAGATTGGATTCATGCAGACATTGGATGACATTGGATGACACGCTTTCCGCGACTCCGCGACTCGCGTTTCCGCCAAGCAACCCGCCCATGCCGCCAGAATCTCCTTGACTTCACGCAGGCTGGTGTTCTGCGGAAGGCATCGCTCAAAGCTGCTGCAGGCCTCATCCTCTGGTTGCTCAAAGCCATCGCCAAAGGTCACGTAGATGGCCATGGAAAGCTGAAGTTCCGAAAGCTGCCTGTCCAATCCTGGAAATCAGTCCATATCTCAATCCTGTAAGACCCATCAAACCGAAAGTTTGATTTGCTGCTAGGAACAACTGGAATACCGGCGCTTTTGACATGACAATTTGTAGGGATCCACTTTGGGATCCCACCTGAGGAATCAATGCTGCGTTTCAGCGTCCAGCCACATGAGGTCACTGAACCGAAAACTAAAAGATGGAACGCTTCATCCGAGTTCATCCACCGAAACCAGCCACACCCGGCCACACCCCAAAATCAGTGAAATACACTCACAGACTCACAAGCGCAGCTCCATTCTTTTCTGATCTAAACTTTGGGCAGATCTCTTTGGGCACGCTCGTATCATGCAGCATCTTTGGCTGAAACGCTCCAGCAAAGCCGAGCCAGATGAACCAGGATCTGCCGGGACTATCATCCGCCGACTTAAAGGCAACCCATCCACCATCCATCAAGCAGTTCAACCAGTTCCTCAACAATATTCTCAACAAATGGGTGGATGAGTGGAATCCTGGAATCCTGGAACCCAGTGGATGAATCTGGATGATCAATGGCGGGATGTTCTCCAATTTTAACCCAAAATCCATAAATCGCAGTCTCAACATCCCAAGTTGGCAAATCCCTGCAGTTCCAGCGCCATCCGCACCTCCTGCGCCCGGATCTCCCCGTTGCCGTTGCCGCCGTTGCCGTTGCCGCCAGGGCCGGCGTGCCGTGTGAGGCGCGCGGCCTTGGCCAAGGTCTGCCGCAGCAGCTGCTCCATCCAGTCCTGGAGCAGATCCAGGGCCTCCGGGCTGAGGTTCAGCTCCTGCGGGCGTGAGATCTTCTATAAAATATAGATAGGACATGATAACAAATATCATCAAATATCAATATGTAACATTAAATATTGTCAATGTATATCTTACATGATAGCTTATCATGTATCTTATAGATATCGACAAATAGGAGATAAGTAGATGTAGATAGATCAACTGGAATAGAACTGCAAGGTTTCAAGGTATTGGATCTGGGGAGGTGCCAGGTGAAGGATCGCTGGTGAAGGATCGAGATATGTCCAAGCAACCAGCGTTTGCCCCCTTGAAATGATCAAATATAAGTTTTAAAAATCAGTGCAATACAAAAATTGTTTTTTTTCCAGACGCACGGCTACAAAACAATGAAATGTCACACTTGTTGAAAGTTGTGGTGATGCCAAAATTGAACTTTTTCCAGGCGCACGGCCTCCCGATACGACGTTTAACGAGCTGATATGACTTAACCCTAGCGCTTGTCAGCAGCAAAAAATCAAGGGCTCACCTGGGACCTTCAATTATTTGAGGCACTTTGGACCTAGGGTTCAAAAAATTCCCCAACTAATCCTATCGTTTTGTTGATTGAATCATTTTAAACACACGATTGACCCAAGATAGACCAACCCTTTTAACATCTTTCAATAATGACAGTGCTCAGCCCCGTACACAGATCCTAAATGTTCCCAACATGCATAGCAACCCCCAAAAAGATCCAAAGTCAAGTCCTCCTACTGAAAAGGGGTTACAGTATCTTACAGTACCATTAATACCATCCACAACCTGACACATTGGTGTCCCCATCGTTTTCCGCCACCAAGGCTCTTCGATGAAACCATTCCCCGGTTGCGCCGCCACCTGCATCAACGCCTCGTTGGCTGCGCGATGCCAATGGCTGCGGAAAGCCTCTGGCAGCTCCCGACGTTTCCGCGGGCTGCGGTCCCTATCTCTGGCAGCGCTCCAGATCTCTTCTGCGCTCCAAACCTGGAAAACATCGAAATCTGAGATGATTGTTGACGATTATGGATACAATGGGATTTGTAGGCAAAGTTGGGATATATGCATGCATGTGTGTATTTATATCTATGTTTAAATCAAAATAAATAAATATATATATATATACCTACCTACCTACCTACCTATCTATCTATCTATCTATCTATATATTTAATATATATAGAGATATTGACATGACTGGAAACCGGGAACGCCACCAATTCATAGCCAGTTGAATATAAGAATCATATAGGATCATATTGATCAACTAAGAAAATTTAGAAAGGATCCTTTTTTAAGACAAACCCGACTTGGATCTCTGAGGGCGACATCTTGAAGTTTGGAAATAAAGGTGTTCCACCACATACAGAACTTGAAGTCCAGAGTCATGAGAACTCCAGTAGCTTGGCACACACGGTACATAGAATGCAGCTCAACGCAATGCTAAACTTTGAGATGGAGGATTCCGCATTGAGAAATATCATCATCATCATCACCACCATCACCAACACCATCATCATCACCATCACCATCATCATCACCATCACCACCACCACCATCATCATCACCACCACCACCTTCATCACCATCAGCATCATCACCACCACCATCACCACCACCAGCAGCATCATCACCACCATCACCATCACCATCACCATCACCATCACCATCACCATCATCACCACCACCGCCATCACCACCACGACCACCATCATCACCACCATCACTATTATATACTATTATCATCATCATCATCATCACCACCACCATCACCATCACCATCACCATCACCACCACCACCACCATCATCATCATCATCATCATAATCATAATCACCACCATCATCACCATCCTCATCATCACCACCACTATCACCACCACCACCATCATCATCATCAACAGCATCATCATGATGATCATCATCCTCATCCTTATCCTCAACTGAGGTACCTTCAGCCTTTGCGCCGCCGGTGCCGGGGGTGGCCGCATCGTCAAGGCTTTTCCGTCCGTCCGCAGGAAGCGGTCTGCGGTGACCGAGCGCTCCGTCGTGAACGGCGGACTGGGATGATCCTCATCTGCCATGGCGGCAACGGCGGCAACGGGCGTTTACGCTGAGTCCTGGACTTGGTTTCTGGCAAACTTCATAGGAATGCCCCATGTTTATCCAGGATTTCCGAGGGATTTCCTGCACCAAACTATGGACCTATGGTGACCTATGGCACCCTGAGCCAAGCGAGGAAGCCTGTGCCGCTTCTGTCATGCCTAATATGTTTTGGATGTCAATAGCAAGTTGTTATAGAATCTATTGAAACAGTGCAACCTCCACACAAAACTCTACAGAGGAGTTTGGGGAACTACTCACAACAGCATCTGCTGACGTAGACTGTGTGAACAAGCTCAGAAGCTTTGATCCCACACCGCTGCATGATGACTGATCAAACCAATCTCCTCAAGAACTGAGAATTGAAGATGATGCAATCATTCAGCATGTTCAATCAGGTCATTCAGTCATGGATCAAATCAACGTCTCGTTTTGTAAACAGCTGACACTGATTACATCACTACAGTAAGCGGATGTTGAAGGTACATATAATGCATTTATGACTAGAAACTGACCCACACCGTGTTCAACATGCCATCACTGCTGGTCGAAGCCATGACTATGGCTCTGCTGGGACACCCAACACTTTCGTTTCCGCCGACGCCGTGCTGCTTTTCTGGTGCCTCGGTGTCTTTCACTCAACACGTGGGGTACCAATCACCGTGGTCACCGTGGAGTGAGCGTTGGAAAATGTTGGAAACACCTGGATGATGTAGTTGACGGTATATCATCACTGGAAAAAACCCATACTTCCAGTGCGACCAATGTGAGCACGCAATCCTGGTATGACTCCATGCACCCTCCGGTACCCTAATCTGGCACGGGCAAATCATCATCTCCTAACACCTCATGAGGTTCGGGCATGGAATCTTGCAACTTTTTGACCTGGCTTTCATGATTGGTAATAGGTTTGTCTTGGCCTAAAAAATGTGGCGTAAATTGGGACAAAACGAACTAAACGAACACACATGGTGATATAATGGGATATCATCGGTGTAGATATCGACGCAAGAATATATGATTTGGGTGTGCCCAACAGGATGGGGATGGGTCGCCTAGTCTGACAATTAAAACTCTCGCTCAGAAGTTGTTTTTGTATTTCCAGACACACCCATGTTCCTATTGTTCCTTTCAATCCCAAATATCCGTCACAGGACGTGTACCAAAATAATCCCTGAACGCCCCTGTCCCCAAACCACTGGTTTTCTGATCTCAATGAGGATTTTTGAGCATCTCCAGTGTGATGTATTGTCCCAAAGCATCTCTTCGCGTGGAGATAAAGGGCACGGGATGACAACAGCATTCCATTCGTGATGTATGCTGTGGCTGAACCAGGCTGAACATGCATTTGGTAGGCAAGATGATTCATGCCAGTCATGTTTCTTGGAGGAAAAACAAATGTAAAATGACGGTTGCGGAAAATGGGACGTGATCTGAGCCCCATTTTTTCCGTCAACCACCCAATGAAAAGGACTATGATTCCGACATCTTTGACTAATTCTTGTGGTGTTTGAGCCCCTACCGACCCGGCCTTGTAAACGTTAACAAAAAACGAACTGGAAAAATCACCATTTGTGATGGGAAAATTCACTATTTCGACTGTTTTCAACAGCCATGTTAAATTACCAGCATTTTGATTGCATGTTGACAAACCACGCCAGCTGGATTTGGACCCCCCCTGGACCCACCAGCGAAACGATCTGTTCGAAGGCAACGCCGCTGTCCTGCGAAGCAAAATGTTCCAGGACAGTTGGTTACATGTAATTGGTTATATTTATATGAATTTATGGTATGGAATATCCCCACTTAGATTCATGGGATGAAATATGGGATATATATATATGTATATATATAATATGATGGATTATAAACCATGGATCCGATTCGTGTGCCAAAAAAAACAGCAAGGGACGCACTGCTGATTTCGAGTCTCTCCTCGGTGAGCAGGGGACGGTTGACCTGGCGCAACCTCAGGTCGCTGTCAGTTTTTCCAATGGCAACCCACACTTCTGATCCATCATGATGTAATATCATCATCATCATCAGTATTACTATCATGATTAGTCATTATAATTAAATATTCTTACATATATTCTTACCATGAATCACCACATACCAAATGTAAGCACGCAAACACTTCCGAGTCGCCCATTGACGACCCGCTCCCCTCTGGCCCTCTGGGCCCTTCCACTTTTCCGCGACGCGCGCAGGATCGGTGCTACTCCGAAGCCTCTTCAATGCCACCTTCAGCGGTGGACAAGGAGATCAGTTGACAGTCTCAATATGTCTCAAGGAAGGTCAAGTGATCATTCAGTAGCAAATATCTACTGAGTCTACTGGTCTTAAGTTGATTCGTCAATGATATCAGAAAGCCGATATAACATGATATAACTATAGTGATTTCGAGGATGATTTATCGGGTTTCCAAATGAATTCCACTTGCACCAGCCGGTGCCCGCCTTTCGGTGAAAGAGCTTTCCGGTGCTCACCTGGTTGCGGAATCCAAGGGGAATCCAAGGGGAATTCTCCGCGACCAAATCTGAATGTTTGAGGTTTCAAACACCAAGACCAATGTCCAAAAACATATCACCTACATGTGACCTACAGTTTTAAATAAAGGAAACGACTTGAAACGACTATGAAAAAGTGGCGCCCAAGGGATCCTCCAAATACTCCAGGATAATCGCCGGTGGGTCATAGTTCAGGCCAAAACGCCTGGGGCAAACCTGCGACTTCGGCCCAAGCTGCCCAAGCTGGCTCAAGTGGAAGGATAGTGGAAGGATATGTACAGTTCATTACAGTTCATTCTTACAATACCCATCAATCTCATGTTTTTTGGGGACCAGCAAAAAATGTTGAAGGAAGATGAAGGAAATATAGTTGGTGACCAAAATGATTCGCGGACTTTTCCATCAATTTTGGGGGATCAAATTTTCGGGTTTTCCCATGGTACCCCATGGTATCCATTACCCATCAACTTTTTCCATATGAATTATACTGGTTGGTGGTTGACCTACCCCTCTGAAAAATATGAAAGTCAGTTGAGTCAGTTGGGATTATGAAATTCCCAAGAAATGGAAAGTCATAAAATTCATGTTCCAAACCACCAACCAGAAACGGTAACTTCGGGGTGTATCCCATTTTCAGCATCCACATCAGCCAATGATCCGGTTGCCCATTCGCAAGATGCCTCCCCTGACACCACTTCTGGTGCTGACATGTCTGAGAAAATCAACAGCTGCGGATGCGGCAAAATTCATCCAATTTTGGAGGTGACATTTTAAGGTCAAAGTCATCTTCATTCACAACTCAGAAACACCAAAAAGTGAAGGCTTTTCCAGTAGTTGGACCAACTCATGTCCATCTGGCCTCATGGGAGTGCTTCCCCTTACTTAAAGAAACACCATTTTTGGCGATGTTGTTGTGAAGTATCGTAGCTGCAAACCACCGTGATGATCAGTGTAGATATTACCTATACACAATGGCCAACCAACATCACTGCCTCCTTGGGTTTCCTTTCAAATTTTGGGGTTTGTCTTTTGATACCCTTTAGTAGTCTTGATACGAATCATAAACTAATTGATGGCCGATTTCTTGGACAATCTTAGCAACTTTTCTATTGTCGCTTGCTCTCCTGCTCGGCCGACTGCTGAACCAGCAACTCGGTATGTTCCGATTTTCTTCTGGGATACTAAACACTTTTAAATCTTTAAATCATCCATCCTAGTGATTGGTATCAATAGTCATAAGTATCCCAAACAAAAATATGACTCAAATGAACTGATTTGTGACTCTCAAAACTTGCCAACTTGCCAAATGCTGGAATTTTTTAAACTGATAATCATCCAATATTCTATGGTTTCATAATCATCCAATATCCAAATTGGTTTCCCCTGGTTTTCACTCCAAAGAAAACACAAATTTATGGCCCCTTGGCGGCTGTTCATAAATCTCCTCATGGGATTTGAAAAATGGGTTGAACCATGTTGAAACCATGGCCATAGAAAGTTCATTGATTTACCCATGAAAAATGATGATTTTCCATAGCGAACTGTTAGTTTACCAGAGGGCAAATCCCCCGTTTTTCACCCAACGTTTCTTACGCCGTGAAGCACAGCGTGGCGCCCCAGCCACGCAAGAGGCGCTGCTGGGGACTCAGGAAGGCGCGGCCGTTCACATGGCGCACCACCTAGCGCCAGCACTGGAGAAGGGCAGCGCCAAGTTATGTGTGTTGATTTATAGCTATGATATGTCATAATAAAGCTATAGGATCCTATAGGTATATGCAAATATAATGTATTATAATGTAACATAATATAATATAAATATAAATATAATTAATATACATCTAATATTATATAATATAAATATAATATACGTAATATAATATAATAATATAATATATTAATATAATATAATATAATATAATATAATATATATAATATAATATAATATAATATAATATAAAATCCATAATAGGCATAAGTTATGTATAGAAACATGTAACTCTTGATTTACAAATCGTTGACTTGTACAGTCATCTCACTTTCTATAGCCTCGCCACAGCCACAATCCGTATCAATCGGCCTCTTCCTGTGGGTGAACTCTAGGCCAGCTCAACCATACTTCCAATGGCACCGCCAATCTTTGCAAATTCGATTCTGTGATATTTCGCCATCTGATACCCTCTGGTAAACTAACAGTTTGCTATAGAAAATGACCATCGAAATAGTGGATTTTCCCATTCAACATGGTGGATCTTTCCATCGTTTTGTAAACGTTTACCAGGCCAGGTATCTGAAAGATTCTGAAACCAGAAACAACCGCTGGGTTCGACCCTTTAAGCGCCCGACTGCATACTGTCGGCCTTGCTCATCCCCTCAGGTCCGTTGTGATTCCCAGGGATCATCAGGGATCATTGGATATGATAATGGGATGATATCATTATCAATTGGATCATAATTGGATATGATAATTGGATCATAATGATCATTATTGGATATGATTATGGTGAGATCATTATGATCATCGAATCATCGCCAATATTGGATCAACTGATTCCCAGATAATCCCATTCTATTAGATATAATAAGTGTATATACCTGCTCATTTATGGGATTTCATGGGATCCATAATCAGCCATTGTATCTGATGTATCCTTTTGTATCTCATTGACTTATTTCATGGCCATTGATAAATGAGCCAGGTCCAATCATGACCCATGAAAAAAATAGCCCGGTCATACATTTTTTTTGGTATCAATCTGGGCAAATTGTAATAATTCCCTAACCTGAATAGGTCGGCAATATTGGGATGATTCCCCTTATCCGCCGACCCCGCTTGCAGCAGGGGGAGCGCGTCAGAGGAGGAATTACCAGCAGCAAGGGCCAAGAAGTCATTACAAGCAGCAAGGGCAAGAAGCAAGAAAACAAGAAAGAAGAAGCAAGAAGCAAGAAGCATTTACAGGCAACAAGCGGCAAGAAGCCAGAAACAACAAGCCAGGAAGCAACAAGCGGCTGGAAGACAGGTCAGAGAGCTAGTTTTCTTGTCGATTCAGAAAGCAACGTTAGGCAGGCGGCTGGAAGACAGCTAGTTGTCTTGTAGGTTCAGAAAGCAACGTTAGGCACTGGGGGCCGTGGCAAGAAGTCATTACAAGCAGCAAGGGCAAGAAGCAAGAAACAAGAAACAAGAAGCAAGAAGCAAGAAGCAAGAAACAAGAAGCCAGGAAGCAACAAGAAGAACAAGAAAACGAAGAAGACGAAGAAGAAGAAGATCCGTCCTTCACTTCTAGTCGGTTCAGAAAGTGACGTTTGGCACTCTGGGCTAGCTTGGAGCTAGTTTCTAGTCGGTTCAGAAAGTGCCGTTAGGCAGTGGCACCGGGGCTTCGGAAGCGCCGTTGGGACCGGCATGCCATGGTGTTTTCCCGTTTCGGAAGCGGCCGCCAAAGCTGGCAGCTGCAGGCTTCAAAGGCTAGTTTTCTAGTGGGCTCAGAAAGTGACGTTAGGCAGTGGCACCGGGGCTTCGGAAGCGCCGTTGGGACCGGCATGCCATGGTGTTTTCCCGTTTCGGAAGTGGCCGCCAAAGCTGGCAGCTGCAGGCTTCAAAGGCTAGTTTTCTAGTGGGCTCAGAAAGCGACGTTAGGCACTGGCACCGGAGCTTCGGAAGCGCCGTTGGGACCGGCATGCCATGTGAGGCTTGGCGGCTGGAAGACAGCTAGTTTTCTTGTAGGTTCAGAAAGCAACATTACGCACTGGGGGCCGTCGCAAGAAGTCATTACAAGCAGCAAGGGCAAGAAGCAAGAAACAAGAAACAAGAAGCAAGAAGCAAGAAGCAAGAAACAAGAAGCCAGGAAGCAACAAGAAGAACAAGAAAACGAAGAAGACGAAGAAGAAGAAGATCCGTCCTTCACTTCTAGTCGGTTCAGAAAGTGACGTTTGGCACTGTGGGCTAGCTTGGAGCTAGTTTCTAGTCGGTTCAGAAAGTGACGTTAGGCAGTGGCACCGGGGCTTCGGAAGCGCCGTTGGGACCGGCATGCCATGGTGTTTTCCCGTTTCGGAAGCGGCCGCCAAAGCTGGCAGCTGCAGGCTTCAAAGGCTAGTTTTCTAGTGGGCTCAGAAAGCGACGTTAGGCACTGGCACCGGAGCTTCGGAAGCGCCGTTGGGACCGGCATGCCATGTGAGGCTTGGCGGCTGGAAGACAGCTAGTTTTCTTGTAGGTTCAGAAAGCAACGTTAGGCACTGGGGGCCGTGGCAAGAAGTCATTACAAGCAGCAAGGGCAAGAAGCAAGAAACAAGAAACAAGAAGCAAGAAACAAGAAGCCAGGAAGCAACAAGAAGAACAAGAAAACGAAGAAGACGAAGAAGAAGAAGATCCGTCCTTCACTTCTAGTCGGTTCAGAAAGTGACGTTTGGCACTCTGGGCTAGCTTGGAGCTAGTTTCTAGTCGGTTCAGAAAGTGACGTTAGGCAGTGGCACCGGGGCTTCGGAAGCGCCGTTGGGACCGGCATGCCATGGTGTTTTCCCGTTTCGGAAGCGGCCGCCAAAGCTGGCAGCTGCAGGCTTCAAAGGCTAGTTTTCTAGTGGGCTCAGAAAGCGACGTTAGGCACTGGCACCGGAGCTTCCAAAGCGCTGTTGGGACCCAACAGCTACTTTTCTTGACGACCTAGTTCGTTTGGTGCGGCCACCAGCCACTCGGTAGTCTTGCATGTGCGACCGCGCGCATTCGTATGCTGTGCTCGAATGCGTCCGTGGGGTTGCTTGGATTCCACCTTGGTGTTGCACGTGGGACATGCGTGCGTATAGCGAGTCCAAACACGTCCTGCAGCCACGCGAAACTGACGGCCACAGTGCCCCCGTGTGTTGACCTTCCCTGTGAAGACGCTGCTTTGCACACATTGCTGGCACGAAGGACATGCGTACGTGTAGACACGTGCGGCAGCTTGGCCGTCCTGGCTGGACTTATCCAGCCAGACATCCGCTCCCCACTCCCAATTGATTCTACAACCAAGCGACAAATGGCAGCGACCGCTGGCCGTAACCAGACTTATGGCACCTCGAGCTCCAGATGTCATCCAGGATCTTCAGCAAAGAAGCATCGGATCCCCTCAGAAACTGCTGCAAGCTGAACGCCGTGCCATTTTCCTCAGATCCATCAACAACGACACCTGCTCCCCCCTGACTGTGTACCTTCTCCCACCCATAACAATCCTGCTGTGCACCGTTCTGCTTCTCTTACACCTTGACAGCCCCACCAGAAACCAGCATGCCTTTCCCAGCCCAGCTGCATGAGCAAACCGCCGACGAAATGCCTCCGCTGCCCTCGAATCGTTCAGCACACTCCTGTAGAACCTCAGAGGCTAGTCACCTACCGGTGTCCCCCCAGTTTCGCCCGGACACATCCCTGCATGCTTCCCCACGCTTGATACAAGTACATAGCCCAAACCAACTTCGTCCTCCCGTAGGAGACTTGACACCAGGATATTCCACCTCACCTGCTTCTACTGCAGTCTTCTGCCACCTGCTCTTCTAAACATCACCCAAGTCATCCATCCTCATCTCACTGATCACCCAATCCCCTGCCACCCAGCCACACGATTCTGAACAGCCGATCAGTCGCCGTGCGATTCCGCACCGCCTCCAGGTGGTCGCTTAGCCACAGAGACATCCGATCGCATGTGGCCAACGGGCACCCATGCAGCGACCTCCGCCATGAAACACTTCCCAACACAGTGACGTCAATCCTTTCCGTTTTCACATGCTTCCATGCCACACTGCAGATCGCACCGAGCTACTCCACGACTTGTGCAAACTCCACCCAACACAATGCATAGAGGCACTCCCTCCAACCGAGCCACAGCTGATACGGACGGTTCGGGCGGAGCAGTGGCGCGACCAAGGCATCCAGGTCGGCATGGTACAACCGCTGCCTAACGCATGGCACCCAACGATCCGTAGAAATCAGTGCATTCTGCTGGTAGGCCGCAATGGTTTTGAATGCCAAAACATATGGTCGAACAGGCACCCAGGAGTTACCCCATCCCCGCAGCAAACAGGGTTACCCCAGGCCATCCGGAAATACTGGCTCAAAAACAAACCATAATCACGAATCCTTCGTTCGGCTTGCGGGAAGCCAAAAAGAGACGATTTCTGCAAGACACTATTCCGCAGCTGATTTCTTGACAGCAATACAGAAGAAGACGACTTTAGCAGTTCCCTGTATGCTTCTCCAGAAGTGTCAAACTGGCCAAGCTCACGCTATCCCCGGCACCCCTTAATGCAACCAAAGCCACAGCCCAGCGATCTGCGCTCTGCGACCAGCATCACCATACAGCCGTCTGCCCAAGATAACCAATGCCTGAGCAACGGAACACTGCCTCGGGGGAACCTCCTTGTCCTTTCCAATCCGGACGGACAACCCCAAGCCTTGCTTACACACACAACCAAGGTACACCGGCCCAGACATCGCAAAATGTCACCAAGTTCTTCGCCACCGCCACCAACTTCTGACCTTATACTACCCCATCCCCGCCCCAGGCAAATGCCTCAATGGTATATGAACCCTGCCCCACCCACACTTCAAACACGCCTAGTCTGCTGCACATGTCCGTCTCCTTAACCATCTCCCAAACCCCACTGGCAATCAACTTTCCCAAACAGGTGATCATGTCCAATGATCCCCTTGGATTACACTGAACCACTAACCTCAACACATGAATCACCAATCTCAATTGCTCCCCGAGATTGCACCACCACAACCCCGCTCGAGTCGGCGAGTCACACTTGCGGCAGAGCCTGTGGACTTCCGCGCGGCCCAGCTCAACCAGCTGCGCAAACAGCAGCACCTGCAACCTGCAGCTGCTCCGCCGACCACCCCTGCGCACTCGCTGTCTTCACCGCACTCTCACACACCGTCATCACCTCCAACTCCGCTGGAATTCTTCTCTCTAGCTCGTTACCCCATACAAAAGGCACCCCTGCACATCTTACCCTGCCCTGCTGTCCAGGCACAGAACCCCCGAGACAGGAGTCGATCATCCGCCCACGCCAACGCCACATGAAATGCAGTACCGCGGCATGTCAGCGGCAGGGACAAATTCGGACCCTTCAAACTCTACACATCTCTAGACATCTCTAGACTGTGGATTCTTGACCTCAACCTTGTTCACATTTACGCAGCTGTGAGTTGCTGAGGTGGAGACTCTCATCTTTCAAAGCATCAATGTTTGCGGCAGTCCCTTAAAAAGAGGCTTCAGTGCACAGGTGTTTGGTTCCACCCTGAAATTTGATGAGTTTGGGTTGTCATGTCTTTTCTGCAGATCTTTGGCTCTTCTTGTCACGAATAGCAGCGGATACCATCAAACTCGACAAAGCAGTTCAGCCGTTTCACTCGCTTCCTAGTTGCACTAAATGCACTCGTATTGGTTTTGATGTTATAATAACCATTACTTATATTCCCATTATTTTTGCTGGTTGGATTCCATATGGGCCACGTTCGGTGTATACTTGCAAGAAAAAATGCCAGAAAATAGGGGAGAGACCCTGCCGCCGACCCCTAGGACCACGAACCTGGGGACTGCGGTGGGGGTAACCTTTTCTCGGCTAGTTCAGCCGCGGTCAACACCTTGCATCCGATATCTCCGGCATACCCATCAGTTCCTGGACTCTCTTCCTAGGGGTACCGCCACCGCAGTCCCCAGGTTCCTTGGTTATAGTTAGTTCGTAGTTGCAATTCTAGTTGTTGTAGGGGTAGTGGTAGTGGACGGCGGTTGAAGTTGTAGTCACAATTGCAGCAATTGCAGTTGTAGTTGCATCTGTAGTTTCTAGTTGTAGGTCTTGTATCTTGCAGGTGTAGTTGTCGTGTAATGTAGTTAGGTTGTAAACTGCAGTTGTGGTTGTATAGTGTGTAGTTGTAGGTTAAGTTGAAGTTGCAATTTTCTTGTAGCGGCGTTGTGGAGTACAGTTGTAGTCGTCGTAGTGATTGTTGTAGCACTGATCTTTGTAATTTTGTGCAATGTTTTCTGTTTTCCCACGTCAAGCAATTCTGCAAAACTTCCTCAATTTGCGAAGTTGACAACATCAAAACAACAATTCAAAGATGTCACAAAGCGACAAAGCAATTTTGTGAGGCCAGGTTTCTTTCAAAAATGAAATGTTCTGTATACCATGTGCTACATACTTTATAGTATGCTATATCTGCTATCTGTATTTCAATACTATATCCGTATATCTGATAAATCCAATTTGATATTGCGGATTTCAAATCCAGCTAGTGACTTTCTGTTTTGTCTACTTATTCTATTTCTGATTGTCTACTTATTCTGAACGGATGGCAATTATAACTATAGTCTCATTCTTTTTTCTGTTTTTCCTTTTTTTCTTTTTTTTGGTGCTTTTTTTTTTTACTTTTTTTGTGCATTTTTTGTTTTTTTTGTTTTTTTTTTGCATTTTGATTTGCTTTTTTTTGGGGGTTGCTTTTTTGTTTTACATTTTTTTCACATTTTTTTCGCAAATAAATTGATTTTCACTTTTATAGGATTCTGGCTAACTGGTTACCATTATACACATATGCCACTCCAAGGACAAGGTCCTGGTCTATATATATATATATGTGTGTATATATATATATATATCTATTTAACTCCAAGGACAGAGTCCTGGACTATATATACATATGTGGCTGCGAGTCAAAATGTAAAGCCCCGATCCATACCCTGAACCCACAGGCCGATCCATACCCCCGATCCATACCAAAACGCAGGTGATCCAGACCGTTCCATACGTCTGGATCACCGCGGGCCGATCCATACCCGAATTTTGACGCAACCCCATGTAACTTCAAGGACGAGGTCCTAGTCTATACCAAAGACAAACTCCTGGACTATATATACAAATAGAACTTCCTGGTATATATACATATAACATTTAACTCTCAGGACAGCGTCGTGGACTAATCAAAGCTTATTAGAGTGTCGTCTCGGGTCTCTTTAGGATGCCATTTAAAGTTTCATACAAATGGTTTAAAGTTTCATACACATGGTTTGTTTAGGTCAGTTTCTGGTTTCTTTAGGGTTCATTTCATGCTTGCGACACAGAGGCAGGCATGACCCTCCAGTGTCCAGGGGTCGGCGGCAGAGGGCGTAGCCCTTTAATTAATTAACCATGATTCCAGGACTCGGTCGCGATGTGAGGTCGTTATAATTTGCCCAGACTATGTGTAAGGTTTTCTTCTAACCCAACCTGGTAGATAATGCCACAAAAAGAGGTACTTAAATTCCTGGTCATACATAATTATCTTACTGGTGCTTAATTAGTAGGGAATGAGGGAATGATCCATACAGTAGTGGTTAATAAGTGGTTAATTAGCTGGTTAATAGTGGTTAATTAGCTGGTTAATAGTGGTTGATTAGGGAATGAGGGAATGATCCATAATCACTATGAATAATAATCCCATTCCCCCATTCCCATCCATTCCCTGCGTTTAGCACCAGGTCCAAGTTGCGATCGTCCAACTGAAACGTGCCATACTTCTCGTGCGCCTCCTGGGTGGAAATCGATGAAATCCACGGGTCGACTCTGCGACAACATCAACATATCAAAGGATAACTGGATTTTGATGGGATTTGATGGGATATTAATGGTGATTAATGGTGATTAATGGTGATTAACGGTGATTAACGGTGATTAACGGTGATTAATGGTGATTAACGGTGATTAATGCTAATTAATGGTGATTATTGGTGATTAATGGTGATTAATGGTGATTAATAGTGATTAATTGTAATTAATTTAATGGTGATTAATGGTGATTAATGGTAATTAATGGTGATCATTGGTGATTAATGGTGATTAACGGTGATTAATTAACGGTGATTAATGGTGATTAATGGTGATTAATAGTGATTAATGGTAATTAATTTAATGGTGATTAATGGTAATTAATATGATTAATGGTGATTAATAGTGATTAATGGTAATTAATGGTGATTAATGGTGATTAATGGTGATTAACGGTGATTAATGGTAATTGATTTAATGGTGATTAATGGTGATTAATGGTGATTAATGGTAATTAATGGTGATTAATGGTGATTAATGGTGATTAATGGTGATTAATGGTGATTAATGGTAATTAATGGTGATTAATGGTGATTAACGGTGATTAACGGTGATTAACGGTGATTAATGGTGATTAATGGTGATTAATGGTGATTAATGGTGATTGATGGTGATTAATGGTGACTAATTGTTATTGATGGTGATTAACGGTGATTAATGGTGATTAATGGTGACTAATGGTTATTGATGGTGATTAATGGTGATTAATAGTGATTAATGGTGATTAACCGTGATTAACAGTGATTAAAGGTGATTAATGGTGATTAATGGTGATTATTGGTGATTAATGGTGATTAATGGTGATTAATAGTGATTAATGGTGATTAATGGTAATTAATCTAATGGTGATTAACGGTGACTAATGGTGATTAATGGTAATTAATGGTGATTAATGGTGATGAATGGTGATTAATGGTGATTAATAGTGATTAATGGTAATTAATTTAATGGTGATTAATGGTGACTAATGGTGATTAATGGTAATTAATGGTGATTAATGGTGATTAATGGTGATTAATGGTTATTGATGGTGATTAATGGTGATTAATAGTGATTAATGTGATTAACCGTGATTAACGGTGATTAATGGTGATTATTGGTGATTAATGGTGATTAACGGTGATTAACGGTGATTAATTAACGGTGATTAATGGTGATTAATAGTGATTAATGGTAATTAATTTAATGGTGATTAATGGTGACTAATGGTGATTAATGGTAATTAATGGTGATTAATGGTGATTAATAGTGATTAACGGTAATTAATGGTGATCAATGGTGATTAATATGATTGATGGTGATTAATAGTGATTAATGGTAATTAATGGTGATTAATGGTGATTAACGGTGATTAACGGTGATTAACGGTGATTAATGGTGATTAATGGTGATTAATGGTGATTAATGGTGATTAATGGTGATTGATGGTGATTGATGATTGATTAATGGTGATTAATTTAATGGTGATTAATGATAATTAATGGTAATTAATGGTGATTATTGGTGATTAATGGTGATTAATGGTGATTAATGGTGATTAACGGTGATTAACGGTGATTAACGGTGATTAATGGTGATTATTGGTGATTAATGGTGATTAATGGTGATTAATAGTGATTAATTGTAATTAATTTAATGGTGATTAATGGTGATTAATGGTAATTAATGGTGATCATTGGTGATTAATGGTGATTAACGGTGATTAACGGTGATTAATTAACGGTGATTAATGGTGATTAATGGTGATTAATAGTGATTAATGGTAATTAATTTAATGGTGATTAATGGTGATTAATGGTAATTAATATGATTAATGGTGATTAATAGTGATTAATGGTAATTAATGGTGATTAATGGTGATTAATGGTGATTAACGGTGATTAATGGTAATTGATTTAATGGTGATTAATGGTGATTAATGGTGATTAATGGTGATTAATTTAATGGTGATTAATGGTGATTAATGGTAATTAATTGTGATTATTGGTGATTAATGGTGATTAATGGTGATTAACGGTGATTAACGGTGATTAATGGTGATTAACAGTGATTAATGGTAATTAATGGTGATTATTGGTGATTAATGGTGATTAATGGTGATTAATAGTGATTAATGGTAATTAATTTAATGGTGATTAATGGTGATTAACGGTGATTAATTAACGGTGATTAATGGTGATTAATGGTGATTAACGGTGATTAATTAACGGTGATTAATGGTGATTAATGGTAATTGATGATGATCATCTATAATGTGGAACACCCAGGCTGCCATAAACCTACCTACCATGACTGGGGATGCTTTACATATCGCAGCCATATGGGACTTGGGGACGGTGACGCTACGGCAGCCAGGGCAGGCAATGGTGCAATGCCAGTCGGACAGCACTGAAAGGACAAACTCACAAATGGGTGTGTCTGAAAATAGTGTACCCCTACACCCAATGGTTAATGATCATTATCCCTATTAAATGGCTATAATTGGGAATATACCCTATTTTCAGACAAACCCAAATATTGTCAGTCCATCAAACCAGCATTGGTAGAGTGTTCCAGAGGAATATTGCAGATATTCATCTATCCATATCTATCCTATTGTCTTATGTACTTTCTAATTTTGGGTAGTCATCGTACCATCATGTATCATCATCCCACAAAAAGTGATATGGACGCTTCATGATGAGTTCGGATGGTATCCCAAACCTGCTCACCGTGGAGACACTCCAAAAACAACAACTGGGGGCTTAAACCACTATGCCACTATGCAAGACTATTTTTTCCACCAGTTTAAGGTCGTGTCTTACCCCTCAAAATGGGGAAACACCTGGGGAAAATTACACTCTTCAATTCCGACTGCTGTCTCCATACTTAAATTTGATGTTGGATCTCCCCAACAAGATCCCAGAAAAACATAGAAAAACCATCAAAAAACACCAAGCTGATGGTTGATGTTCCCCATCATCCACCCATCGGCCCATCGGGGTCCAAGGTGCCATTCCTGGGTGGAATTCGGCAAACGTATGTCGAACAACTGATGATTGACTTCGGATTAATGAATATTAAACCATGTCAATCAATGTGCATATATATATAACAAATCTGAATGTCGAACAACGACTTAATATTTATTGTTGTGTGTGTGAAATTTATTTTAAATAATATTTGCATGGCAACAAAATGTAACAACATATCGCAAACTAAAATTGGTTGAAAACAAGCTGGAAAAATGACATCCATCTTCGATGGTGGAACTCAACACTGTCACGTCTTGGTTTCATCATGGAGGCCAATATCCTGTCTCAAATTATTTGCTCCGGACAATTCGCACGGAACAATTCGTTCTCACCATTTATCCCATTTCCAAAGTTTGAGTCCATTCCAAATTTTCCGCTTTAGATTTTAGATGGATTCCAATGACTTCACATGGAGTCAGGTCAAATTGTTCGACCAAACGCGAAGATTTTGGACATTTTGCGTACTAAACTTCTTGAACTGCTATATATATAAATATACATAATATATTATCATATATTACATAAACACCGCCTCAATTTTGGGGTCAACCAATCCTTACCCATCCCCAGCCAGTCTCTATGACCTTGTTTACTTAGGAACCATTTTTCAGAATGTCGTCGCGCTGTGCAATCCCCAGAGTTTCTTCGATGAAATCTCCCTTGCGCACCAGGGAGCCTGGGATTCCCAGCTGATGGAATGATAATCCCCGGAAAAATCCCTTCCACCTATGAAGCACCCACAGAAACGCATAGGGATTTTTCATGATTTAACTACTCATAGACTCATATTTGGGACCATTTACTGTAGGGGGTTTTAAGATTAGGACAGGATATATTAGGGGTTGGGTAGTTTTTCCAGCAACCCCCAAACTAATGATCAACCTCCAGGAGTATTGAGAAGATTCTAAAGACCCCCGGACCCAAAAACTCCTGGGTTTCTGGTCATTCCCAATGAGGACCAGATGATGTGTATAACTCTGTTTAATATAATATATATATATTATCCTAACAATGCCACGTTAATCCATTTTATATCATTTTATATAATATACATTAATATACCCAATATATACCAGTACCATCCAGTACCACAATTTGGTGGTAACGCTTTAGGACACATCTCAATCCACCACTGAAAACCTGGAGCAACTCAATGTGGCCTGGTGGCCTGCTCCCAAAATCTCTCGATAATAGTCAGCACGGCAAATGTGCGGCTTATCATAGAAGAAAATCAATGGCCTCTGACCCGCGGAATACCGGGGGAATACCGGGGGAATACCGGGGACATCACAGCGGGTTTCACAGGACTTGATGTTTTTGAGACTGGCAACTGCTCACTTTCAAAGAGGATAGGATACCTCGAATTGACGTCTTTCGTCACCAATGGAGAACAGGAGAACACGCACGTACCGTCAAACACCAAAGGGAAAGCTCGCTCAAGTCCCCTCATTAAACATCATTAATTAAACCATAGCACCCGTGTCTCTGCAATCACATCAGTCTGCAAAGGACTCCAGCCATTTTTTCACTCCAAGAAGGCACAATCTGTTGGAATGGACAAATATCACCCCCAACCTCTCCAAAACTCTCCAATGATCTAAGCCAAGTTGCAGCAATGGTATTCCAAACTCCGTGTTTCGAGAGATTGAAATGCCAAATTTGGACCGTACCATGTCATCATACTTCAGGGTGGAAACGCCTCCAGTAGCCCAAGGCGACCACGACTCATGCCCAGTCAAGCGCCGACTGCAGATTCCACACACCGGTCAGGTTACGGAACTAGCAAGGAAATTATCTTTGCTGTACTTCCGTTGATTCTAAACAAGTTTTGTTAATTGGTCTGAAACACCTTTTCCACTTCTTCATCCTCTGAACTCCTGCTGTGGGTCCCAGGAAATTAGTCTATTAACAAGTCCAAGGTACTGCTTAAGCCAACGTACTTCACTTCCCGGTGTTGTGTCATCGTGCAAAGCACCATGGGCAAATCAAAGGGTGCGATGAATTCCTGATCGTGTTGAACTACGAGTACCTCAGCGATCTGGCCATTTTTGTTTTCGCGGCATATTCATACTCGCCCATCTATCTGACCAATTTACAACCCATAGGATCCATGGTGCTGGTATATATGCTAACATTGGGGGTATATTGATGGTAAATGTTCCATATACAGCATACATGGATCCTATGAATCCTATGGGCAATATTTCTTGGGTCGTAGCTTATTTTCAATAATTCGAAATGAAATTAAGTGAGGTCGTCTGAAAAAGGAAATTCGTGTGACGTCCTTGTCCAGGTTGAGGTCGTTGAACACGCTTTGCCTGGCAGCACGCATATGGGTCTCTTAGCTAATGACATAAAATGGTTGAACACGCTTTGCCTGGCAGCACGCATATGGGTCTCTTAGCTAATAACATAAAATGGATGGGCGGTTTCCCACCGTACCCTCCCAAGATAGAAAAGAATTGGAAACCAGAAAGCCATGCCGAGGAAGCACATTGTAGTGTGCATGTGATTCTCTTCACTGCCCTTTCAGCAACTCCAAGCACTTTCAACTCTCTTTCCAACATCCTTTTCATCTCTCCCCTCCCGGTCGCGCCTCAACCAAGAGCTCGTTGTCAACCAAGAGCTCGTATTTATGGTCACATTGGGGATGGTTTTGATCCCAAATGGTTGATCTTCACCAGTGTCAAAGAATCAGCTGATGGTTGACATCCCAAGATATCCCAGGGAAGGTGAGCAGCAGGGATTTTTTGGCGGATTTATGCCATAAATGTCTGGAATGCTTACCTCATAAACCGTGATGATCAGCGGAATCCAAGAGTAAGTCTAGAAGGACCAAAGAATTACTTAATGTAAAAACAACTCCTCTTCACCGTTGTCAACACAAAAACAGATCAGTAGCGGATGTTGGCCTCTACATTTGGATGTAGATTCATTCAACCACGACTCTGACAACGTAACCTTGCTCTGATCTAATTCTCATAACCACTAGCCATTCTCTAGAAAATATTGATGCGATCAGATCTGCAAGAATCAAGACAGCTTTGTTTGATTCTGTGCCTACAAGGGACATATTCAGTGTCCACTTCCTCCAAAGCACTCTTCACTGCAAAACCAAAGCCATGCCGATCAGGCAGCACCAACAGCCGCGTGCGAAAGTATGCAGAACTCTCCGACTCCATGTCTCTTGTGCAACAGCGCTGAAGCTGCTTGATATATTCCTCATATCTTTCGGCTTCCAATGCACTGATCTTGCCTTGGCATCAGGATCAATCAGCCAATGCAGTGGGCAACTCGTAGAACACACGACGAATAACCAGCGTCAAGGCTCAACATGTTTGCGGTCCAAATTTCAGATCCAAGTTGCCCGCTTTCGGATTCGATCTGCCTCCAGCCAACTTGTATCCATCACAAACAATGATCTTCGGAGCGGTCAACGGTATCAGATACAGACTCTGCAGCACGCGTTCCAGCAGATCCGTGCTGGGATTGGACGGCACCGGGCTCGTGGTGATGATCACCGTGATGGAGGGCCTGGAGGGCCCAAGGTCCTGCACCGGCGGAGTGGTTGGCCAGAAGGCCCAACTGGCCACCTCTGAAAAATAGCCATCGCAGGCGTTCATGACGGAGCGGAAGGAACTGATGCTGGGTGGATTGCAGAGGAGCAGCTCCACCTGATTTTGGTGAAAAATGGTGAACATATATGTCAAAATCCAAGGGAATCAACTTGAATCAACTTGCTTTTTTCACGCCATGTTGATATGTTGGTTGTGGGGTGTAAATACTACTGTTGATAAATGTTGATAAAATTCGTCAGGTTTTCACAGCAACAAAGACATTGCAGTGATGTTCATCCCATCCCAGCTGGCTTGCCAGCTGCCCAGCTTGGATCCCCTCACCTCCCCAGCCGTCTCCAATTCAATTTGCATGCGCTTGGTGTTGCCCGAGACGCCATTCACCGCCAGAATGGTGCAGCCAACATGGAGTCGTCTCCAGGGTTCGTGGGCTTCAGAGCAAGTGTCATTCCAGAGTTCTGCCTCAAATGCACGAAGATCAACGAAGATCATCACATTTTCGCCAATACGACCAGTACGTGGCTCCCCTCGGATCTGATTCCCTCTTTGCCCAAAATGAATAGATCCCACTGTTAAAGCCGGGTTTCTCCAGTTCAAACTTTCAAACCAACGCTTTGGGATGGCCTCTGCCCCCATCACTTTGTTTGCTCAAGTTTTACCTATGTTGGATGATGCAGCCAGTTGGTTTACCCAGTCCAAGCCTTTCATTCTCTTTGTTGACCAACCATCCTTTTTTAAGCGTGTTCATGGCGAAACCAAAGTTTACAAAGTCCATTGGTGTCCAATCCTCTATTAGAAAACAAATTCCATGGATTCTCCCACCTTTCGAGCCATCTCTGTTGTTTACCCTCTGGTAAACTAAACATAGTTATGGTAGCCATGTCCCATTTACTTCGTTGATTTACCTATTTGAAATGGCTATTTCCCACTTCGTAAACGGTTGAATGACCAGGGGCCAATCCCGATTTCCCACATGAAAAACCCTCATATTCGACCACCATATTTTTCATGATTTTTCCATATACCCTCTGGTTATTTAATATAACAATGGTATAGATGGCCCATAGAAATAGATGGTTTACCTGGTTTACCTATCAAAAATGGGTGGATCATGATCTTTCCATGGCTATGTTAGGTAACCAGATGGTATTTTCCCCATGAAATCCGCAAAATCCAAAGGCACAACTCCCTCCACCGCCAGAACCACCAGACATCGCCGGCCCAGTAGGGCCATGTCGCAACAAACCAGGCCCAAACGTGTGGAGGCGTCCTTGCGCCTGGGGAAACTGGAACCATGCTCGAAATGTCTAAAAAAAATCATAGGAACATGCTGATTTAACTGATACCAAGAAAAATAGTGATTGAATGGGATACATAACTGATTTATGATATCTAAGTTCAACAGAACTTAGCTTAATAATTGAGTTGATAAGGGTGATATGACTATAGTTTTCATGGGTTTATAAACCAACAAACATCACTGGGGGGGCCTCACCTTGCTGGAAGTGGTTGATGATTTTCGGGATTTTCTGATCCGTTCTGACAAACCAAATATAAACATCACCTATGACTAGATTTATCATGTACCCTCTGGTAAACTAACATAGCTCTTGAGAATCACCATGTTTAATAGGTAATTCAACTATAAATAGGCCATTTTCTATAGCTATGTTAGTTTACTGGAGGGTATATTATTATATATCGCGTCATATGCAACTCCCATACTTAAAAAGTTTGTCTGGTTAAAAGCAACCAAAATATACCAAAATCATCAGAATCTTCGAGTTTGTACATAATGTACATAGGTGCTTATGAACTGTTTTCATCATGAAGTACAGCATATCTCCACATATCTCTAACGATTAGGAAACATGCGTTTGTTTGGCCCTTGCGTTGCTAAATTGTGATAACATATGGGTAGCAAACCTGCTCTCTATCTACCACGTCCTGCTCTCTCTACTACATTACTATGCTCTGTGAAAAGTGCATGTTCATTTTTGCATGAAGCTATACCTCTTTCTCCACACTCACAATCTCAAATAGCAAGTTATGCATCATGATTGGTAGATGCTAGTTTCCCAATTGGGTTTGCGACCGCCTTAGGCTTACATATGCTTGCATCAATGAGACAAACATTTAGCACTCACCAATTGGCATGGTCATCGCAGCACAGGGGGGTAGAATGACAAGTCAGCTGAGGCCGGGACAATACGATCTTCTGAGGAATGCTGCCTTCGCATGTTTGCGGTCCCTTGTCACACGGCCCAGTGCCTTCGCCACCTGACAAGGTTGCGAAGCGGCTCGAAACGCAGAATACCAGCTGGATCAGCAACCAAATCCGGTTTCAGAGTCTAGTTTGATGTATTTTGATGCTTGATTTCAGATGATTTCAGTTTCCAAATATCCTTTTCTCAGATCGTCCAACTCCACGTGCCCCAGACCATCACCTGCGGCCAAGACCTTCACTGCCAGCTGTGCCAGCTGGGCCCCTGGGAGGCAGCTACAGGTCTCCATCCGCTGTGATTTCTGGAGCTCCTTCTGCAATTCTGCCTGGTGCGGACAAGATCTGGGATGATCGATGTTGAGAAATTCTATGGAGATGACCCTCTGGTAAACTCACATAGCTACGAAAAAAAATAATTAATAGGTAAATCAACTGCAAATCACCATTTTCAATAGCTGAATTTCTATGTTAAATTACCAAAGGGTGTGATCGTTCTGGAGTAGATTGAAGATGGAACATGTCTTCAAGCTGTGGATTCAATGGGGCGAAAGCAGTTTCATCTCCAAAAGCTGGTGACCTGCAAACCCTTAGGTTTCCCAGGTGTTACCCAAATAGACTATAGACATCTGTATACAATACAGTATTAGAATGTAATATGTATCCATATATGTATCCATATATGTATCCTATATGTATCCTATATGTATCCATATATGTATCCTATATGTATCCTATATGGATCCTATATGCATCCTATATGTATCCTATATGTATCCTATATTAGCTGTATCAAGATGTAGGTGTGCACATGGCACCCAGTCGTCCCTGGGACTCAGCGGTCACCTCTAGCCCGGCCGGTGACTTTTCCCATCCAACCTTGGGCAGGGCGCTGCAATGAATGGGTCCCTCGGTCATCGGAAGGTCTTTCGTGAAAATATGCCAAAATCTGATCTTTTCTGATGAACATCGGGGAAAGTGATGGAAATTCATTCACGATTGTCAAAATATGCCAAAATCATACACGGGCTTGAAAAGGTTGTGGCATTTCGTGATCATAGAGTACTGTATTTCCCGGCATTTTAAAGGCTATTTCAACTATACTTGAGACGAAGCCGCACACCTTTTTCTGGCGAGCTCTTATCACTCATCACTCTGTGTCGGGGAATCTTCCAGCTGCCTTAGCATCGCAGCTTCAGCTGTTGCCAACTGCTAGTGCAGTTCTGCATTCCTTTCGCTCTGCATCTGCCACATCTGTCAATTGTTTCAGTTTCTTAATCTCTTCATCATGAGCCTTTCCCAGCTCTTCACGCTTCCTTTGGACTGCTTCTTCCGCAACCTTGTCAGCGTAGTCAAGAAATTTCTCTATAAGCTCTTTTGCTTGCCGCTTGCGTTCTGCTTCTTCTTCACTAATTTTTCAGCTTCTGCATTTCATCCTCATGCAGCCTCTGTCAGAGGCTTCTGTTCCCTGGCTGCCTCCTAATTGGGCCTTGTGCTCCTCTGACTCTGCTGCAAGTGTGTCATATTGCCTTGAAGATCCTTGAAGGGCAATGATTTCTCTTGTTGCCTGCTCCTGGATCTCTTGCTCTTTGATTATGGCTTCAGCATCGGTCAAGCAGTCTCGCAAGACGACGGGCAGCAACATCAGAGTCAATCTCAGGCTTTGCTTGTTGCACGGCCTGCACAGCTTTACGCGGCTGTTAGCACTATCATATACTATCATCCTCTGTCCACAAATTCGAGTGTTGTTCTAACAGCTGATCTGCAGAGTCTATGGCATCCTGCGACGGCTGCAGCAGGGTCTGAAGTTCTTCCAGACTCCAACTTCCACTCCAAGGTTTCAATCTTTTCAGCCCTGGCTTCAGCCTCTTCCACGGTGTCGTGAAGGACCTCTTCCAGTTGTTGGATACGAGTCTTTCTCTCGTTCTGCCTCAACGGTGTCCTCAGTTCCTGCACGTTCTGAGGGCCATCGATGCAGTACCAAGTGCTCCATCCGCTGCAGCGGAGCCGAGTAAACACACCGATGGAGCGATTGCGTCTTGTCCCATCGAGACGAAGCCTGGCCGCGGCTTTCTTTCAAAGTACTCAATGTCTGCAAGTCGAAGGCATATGTATTAACCATCATTAACATTCATTAACCATCATTAACCATCATTAACCATCATTAATTCCATGGTTCCAAACCACCAACCACTTTAGTTGAAAATCTTCTTATCAGCCACTTCACAGGCAAGACGTAAGCTCTGCAGCTCCGCGGCTCCTAATCTTGGTGCTCCAATTTTCCTGGTGGTTTCATGCTCGATCCCCCCAAACTTGGCAATCAACATCCCCGAAGATGCAAAAAAACAATCCAAAAGAATTGTAAACATCAAACATATGTTCAAACATGTTCTGGTTGGTGATGTTGCTGGCTTTAACCATATTGAAAAAATATGAAAGTCAATGGGAAGGATGACATCCCATATATTATTATTGTGATGGAAAATGAAAAATGTTCCAAACCACCAACCAGTGTTCAAACAATGTCTAAAACCACCAAGCAAATCTCAAGATTCGGCTCCGGCTGGTCGTGGTTCCAGCATTTTTGGCATCGCGGATGGATTTGAGGTGCAGCTCATGCAACAGCCCCGGCTGCTGGATGGCAGGGACTGCATAGTAGGCCACCTGATCTGCGACACTGGCGAGGGCCACGTCCACATCGTGGCACTTCTCCAGGGCTTTCTGCAGAAAGCCTTGGAGTTTCGGCAAAGCATCCACCTGGCCATGGCCATGGGTGCTTGGTGAGGTACAAAAAACCGATGGATCGATGGGGGACTTACCACTGGCAGACCATGGCAGGCCATGGCATGCCATGGCCATTTCATCGGGATTGAATGGGAACACTATGGAACCATGATGCTATTTTTGGGAGAAGGTTTATCATCGTTTGCCTCATCAAAATTGTGGCTATTTGAGGGGTATACAACCCATTTTGAGACACACCCAATCAAAACTCATGTTGTTCGCTGTATCCTAATTTTATCCCAGAATATTACCATTATCATCATCATCATCATCCATTATTTATATTATATTAATTATATATATAATATATATCAACTATACATGCATTGCGTGGCTCTAAACCACCCAAGTTCTTCACCACCCCACCATTCTTCACCTTGTAGAGCATGGCAAAGAAGCCGAAATTCAAACCACTGCAAGGTGCTCCGTTGCCATCGACCATCACTTTAGAGAGATGTTTGGAGACGCAGCGACCGTAGGGACAACGAGATTTCAAGGAGATCACCTCCCAATCGCAGGGCACCTCCGCGAGAATTGTAGCCAAGTTGCCCCAAAAATCCTGGAGGAGTGGGCCATTTAAGTGGCAGCCGTTGATGGGGGAAATTCAATGGTATTCTTCCGTTTTGGGAATATGGAAACACATGAAACTCATCATGTTCTGGTTGGTGGTTTGTGAACCTGAAAAATATGAGTCAGTTGGGATGATGACATTCCCAATTAATATGGAAAGTCATAAAATTCATGTTCCAAACCACCAACCGGTGTTTGTATGTTTTTTTTTCAGAAGTCGCGCCTCATGAAGATGAACATCATCCTCCAGCACCAGGGCCAAGGGCGAGTGCTTTATTTTCGCCGCGGCCTTCAAGATGCGCAGGTGACCGGCGGCACAGCCGAAGGTGCCCTGCAAACAGGTGAAGGATTTGGAGAAGTTCTTTCGGAAAAACAACATTGAAAAAACCATTCAAAAATTATCCAATCATGGGATGTTTGATGATTTTTGCATTCCAAAATTGTTTTTTTTGTGTGCGAAGAAACAATTTGGGATGACTTTGGATAGGTTTTGTAACTCTTCTGGATGATTTCCAATGATTCTTGGACTATGCTTGAAGGATTCTCGAATTCTGGTGTTGGGTACAGTAATTGATAGAACTTTGAATCTCAGCTGTCAAACTAAAGCAGTGCATCCTCTGCGGAAATCGTGTCCAGTGATCCCACCTCTCTGGTGTCGCATCCGCGAGGGCTTTGTCACTGAAAAACTGAAGCAACCAATCAACACACCACATGGACCATGGACCATGATTACATATGAATACCCCCCATGCCGGTTGAATCCGTCAAAATTGTCATTGTCGTCGCCTTGCTTCAAAAGGAAAGGGCATGTTTTTGTGCGGGCCCTATCACCCTATCGTTATACATGGTCTTGTACCTATCGGAACAAATCTGCGTAAATGAACTGGAAAAGAAGAGGAAAGGAATACGACAGGAAAAAGGACAGAAGAGGAAAGGAATGGACAATGAATTGAAGAGGGAAAATGGAAAATAAGAGAAGGATGGAAAAGTCAGAAGAGAGGAAGAAAGGAAATGGAAAAGAGGAAAGGAGAGAAGAGAGGATGAGGAAAGGACGGGCAAAGAAAAAGGAAAGAAAGAGGAAGGAAGAGGAAGCAGCGTCTCTCAGTCTGGAAGAGAAAAAAAAGGGAAAGGACAGGAGGAAAGGGTCTATCTGTGGTCTGGGGCTACTTTTTGAAAAAAATGGTATCGCTAAGGTATCGTTAGGGGATGTTAGGGGCATCCCTAAACTCCTTGAAACATGGACGTATTCCTTGGGAGGGCGGGCCCCTATCGCTCGCACACTCTTTGGTGCACTTTCCTGACACAAAGTGAGCACACCCTACTAAAGTGGTCAGAATTTTGACCGTACCTCATATATTATATCTTCATATCTTCATATGCTTGTTTCTTGACCCCTCCATTTTCTTTTGGCATAAATTGCGGCATAGACATCAAAAAAAGTGCATGCCTTCTCCTCAGCAACACACATCCACAGCTGAAAATCGCAAATCGCCGCCTCTCGATGCTTCAGTACTTCAGGTGGCATCTTCGGCAGGAGTCCCTCCTCCACCGCCGCTTGGAAGGCTCGCGGCAGCGAGAGGTCAACCTCGGTGGCGAATCTCCTTCCATTGGTGGCTGAGCCAACCCCTTGCAAAAAAAAATAGTGGGATTAAACCAAAAACAGGGTGAAGAAAAAACTTAAGATGTTTGAAACATTTTGAAACCAACCAGTTATCTTAGATACCTCGCAGAAGATGGCTTTTAAGCTGGGCAAGAATAATTGCATAGAATTACACTATTCCGCCGTTCATGGCTATTGACCCAACCAGGGTTTACCCAGAAGATGGTTTCGAGATTAAAACAATGAGCCAACTTGTTCCGGTGAACAAAGTCTTTGCCTGTCTGATGTATATGTGGTCAAAAATAAAGAGGCATTGCAATAACTGCAGGAAATATATGGAAATACACTTGCACTCTACGTATTTAAAAACTGCAAAGCATCAGCAAAACATTTCCGGTTTTGATAGGGTCCAAGGTCCTCAACCTGACACACGCCTAGGTCATGGCATTTTTCCACCACGTTCCTGCTAGGTCGTAGATTACATGCTCATCCACTATGGTTCTGTGGTTGGGAAAGTAGGGAGGGGTGGGGTTGGCTAGTACTCTTGCAGACTAGCAGTGGTTTGTCGAGAGCCCCAAAATCCATTCTAGTTTATCGATCATCATTTTCCTGCTACAATTGGGGTATCACCCCGTTTGAGACAACCGCAAACATCGTATTCTTGGTTAGTTGTATATCCCAAATTATATCCGCATTCTGGTACTCTACATCCCCATAAAATACTCCCTATATCATCCACAAAAAAATCCCCAGTATGGTGGCTGAATGTGGCCACCATATCCGTGAAATATCCCCATGGCCCATTGGGCCATGGTCGATTTCCCCATCAGGATCGATCCCAGCCACACCCAACATGCGCTGCACACCCTGGAAGCGCAAGTGCTCTAAGCGTCTGCCTGGGCATTCAGTGGGTCTTTTCTAGTCTCACTCGCAAGAAATGACAATGTTTTTTAATGGTAATGACAATGGTAATGAATATAGTCTAGTCATGTTTGATAGCGTTTAATCATGTTTGATAATGTTTAAACATGTCTAATATTGTCTATAGTAATTTGAAATACATTTTAATACCGTTTAATAGTGTAATTTAACAATGGTTGATGTTGATACTGCTTTAATAATATTCAATAATGTTTCGGATTAATCGATGTTTAATGAATGCTTACTACGCAATTGATTTCCCTGGGTGGTCTTTATGAAATCCAAACAAACCCGTGGATAGTTGAATATTCCATCATAGAGACTTCATTATCATTGCCACATGTTACTAGTACCAGGAAATGGACTGGATAGATATCTACCAGACCAGCTGCAAAGGTTCCTTCTATGAAAAGAGGTGAATGCCATCACTTTACTATACCAGTCACATTTGGGTATCATCACATTGATGAATTTCAAAACTATATTTCAATATATTTCACCCATTTTCACCCCCTAGCGGCTTAGTACTTTCAAGACCAGCCGTTCATTTCTTGGCTCGGCACACATCTCCAGTTGGCCCAAGGCACTGATGAGATGCCATCTTTCTTCGCTCAAGCTCAAGACATAGACTGAGATCATGGATTTCAGCTGTGTGACGACGCTTTCCCCCACAACCTGCCTGCATCTGTGAGGCTTGAACAGTTATCTTGATGATTTTTTTTTGCCGGCTAGATCTGCAAAATGGGTTTAAGTAATCGTTTTTAGCATGGTTTATACCATGTTTATACCATGTTTATACCATGTTTAGTCTCCAGAATGTTGGCTAGTCACTTCCGTAGTAACCAATATACCCGGCCTGGTAAACATACAAAAAGCTATTGAAAATGGCCCATGGAAATAGTTCATTTATGTTGATTTACCCATGAAAAATGGTGATTTTCTATAGTTAATGTATGTTTTTTGTTAACGCTTACCAGAGGGTAAAGCCTTCAATGACCAGGAACACCCGAAAACAGCATCCCTAATATGGCCTGTTCAGTTCATCGCAAAAAAATGTTGCTGGCTTGGAGGTGCGGGAGTCAAATAGGTATCCAGCATGGTCCAGATTCGTTGCCCCTAAAACGATCGACATTAAAGGTCTAACAGGAATCTGTATCCAATACATCACTTTTTTGTCATTTTCAACAACATAACCTTAAAACTTCTACCATCTTATGCCACTTATGGGTCTAACAGACCATTGGGTCATTAAAATATCATTTCGAGTCCACATGACCCAACTTTCACTGCCAA